TAGCGAGATATATGTGAAGAACACGGTTAGTTAAATTGTGGAAATAAAACACTTGCGTCATCTGATTAAGTTCTAGTAGGTTTGAATTTCAAATAGGTGACGCTGAGTTTCAAATCTTTATTTTAAATAAAATTAATAGAAGTTGGTTACCAGCTTCTGATATATCGGTTAGTAACCGCAAGCTTGACCAGTCAAAAAGCATTGACCAGGAATTGGAAGATCCTCAGTTCAAATCCCAAACGGAGCCCATGTGCTAATAATGCTGAATAAAATGTTCCTCTTTTATGTAAATTCGCAGTAAAGTCATATCACGTGCATGAAACGTTCAGTAGAGAATTAGAGTATCAGATAGCACTAGGGTATACTCTACAGAAGAAATAAGTGAAAAATGTTCCTTGGACAATTTAATTTATGTCGTAGAGCAAATGGAGTTAAAGTATATTTTGATATTTTGATGAGCAGAAAACGTGGGGTATTTTCTTTGATCAGAAAACATCATTGTCATTCCACGACCATTTAACATGCTGGATGTTTCATTCACTGAATTCGAAATTTTTCTTTCATAAGTATGCTTCTATTCAGTTAAAGTTTCCAGACGATTCAAGCTATCGAAAACGATGGTATATGAGAGCCATCAAAGTACTTTCCCAGAGTTTCCAGGATTATCAGGAGTACTTCAGCAAGTATATGCGTTTCATGGATATAATTTTAAGGCAATAAATTCAAGCAAAATTGCGTTATAATTTCAAGCAAAACTGCGTTATAAACAACTTCCGTGACCATTTGAGCACTGGGATTGAACTCTTCCAGGAAGAGACAAAAAATATGAATGGACGGATTCCTATTGATATTCTTTGTAAGGGAACTTCATTAGCCATTGTTGTGCTTTGTCCAAAAATGTTTTTCCCAAATAAAAGGGGAGGGAGTCCGTAAGTCGATTGGGTAACTGAAATAAAGTGTTTATACAGAAAAATCGTTTAGTTGAAGTTTAAATTTTATACTTAAGTAAGAAATACTTAAATTCATTGCCAGTTTAAATTAAAAACAGTCGGCGAGTGCTGCAGAAGATGGAACAATAAGCTACTGATCACACTCAAAATCTGAAAAGGTGTCTCAAATTTGCTAGAAACAATAGTGCCAGATGTAAATCCAGTTACTTACTAGAGATTTTATACCGATTTTTGGATCTAAATCATAGTTAATGCCTTATTCTCAGAGTATTAAATTTAAAGTAAGTAGAGCTTCTCCGTTAACAAAAAAAGAATCATAGACAGTTTTCAGTGGGAGAAGCCAACCAGTCAGTATCAGTTGAAACTCAGTAGTTTCGTTAACACTTAATCAATCTTTGCGAAATACACACACACACACACACACACACATATATATATATATATATCTTTTTGCGAAATATACATATATATATATTATCTTATTATATATATATATATATATATATATTTCACAAGCGAAACTCTACGACATTATATACTCTCTCGCTCTCTCTCTCTATATATATATTTCACAAACAAAAACTCTACGACTCTTATTGCTCTACGACATAAACTATTTGGTTTTCATTTTGTATTATATATATCTATAGTAATCTATACATATATCTATAAGTATATATATGTATAAGATACAAAATATGAAAACCAAAATTCTAATTTAAATTAGCAATAACCCTTAATTCCTCATTTTTAATTTAAGTACTTCCCTTCTTTATTCTAAAAGTAGTAATATATTTTCAGACTGCTTCATTTCTAGATCAATCCATATACGATGTAGATAATTCGGAACTTAAACCTACACTTTCTCTTAATAAGCTGCCATAACTGGATAGCTACGTACTTTGTTTCTACCTCTATTCTCGCTAAAACGCTGCCTCGCTGATCTCTTCCTATCACAACAGTATCAAAAATAATTTTAATAGGCATGATTAGAACTCAAGTGAATTGTTGCCTCAAATGTTAATTGAAATAAAGATGGATATTTAATATATTATTTTACATTATTTTTAATTATTTTACGGCTATCTAGTTTGCTGTTCATTACGGATTCAACATTCTATAATCTAAGCAATTTATGTTTCTACACCATCATTACTTCTAAATCTTGTTTCCATTAAAATGCAGTCACTCTTTTTACAACATTATTATATATTATATATATGTACATTATTATATAATATATATATCTATAACATACATGTACATAAGTGTTATGATGTAGAAAAGTAAAACCGAAACTTCCACTTCGTGGTGCTATCGCTGAAATCACGAGATACTATCTATAGCATTTTATATATCCTTTTTAATTTCTTTTTTTAATTAAACAAATTTCATTACAAAAGTAAACCAGATTTTACTTACAGCAACCACGCCTAAAGTACGTGCACATTCCCCCCCCACAAGGAAGGCTATAATCATAGCCGTAGATACTACATAGGTTTTAAACAAGTATTCGTGTTATAAATACATTATTAAAACAAGTTAGTCTGACGTAGAAACAAATGTGTGTTTTATTTTATTGCGGTTATTATTTCATGTAATTTTAGCTTCTTAGGATTATTGATTGTATATATGGAAAGGTTTAAGGTTGAAATGAAAAATGAAAAAAATGTTAATAGGAGTATTGCGTGACAATCCATTGGATAATAAAAGTGCACAACACACGACATATCAATCTTAGACGTAAAGGAAGAAAATATTTTATTTAACATGCTAGATTAACAATCTACGTGAAATTTTTTATAAAGTCATACACAGAGAATTTATTTTTGCTTGCGTTAATCACATGCAAGCAGCATAAGGCGAAATCTTTTGTTATATATATGAAAATTCTGGAAATGTTATTTATAAATTAATCTGCTTACTATACGTGGTAATGCACTCTTTTTCACTGAAGATATAGCAACATCATAGAAATAGCAGACTGACTGGAAATTATTAAGAAGCCTGGCTTATCGCAGATGATATTAATGTTTATAATTTCAGTACATTTGTAAAAGTATTACTAGTAGAATGTGAACTTGCATTTAAAAGAAGGATCTCACAATCATGTCCCCAAAACCGTTGTGAACTAGACCAAATATCTGATACTTGAACTTAAATATGCCATATTACAGATAAAGGGAGAGCTATGATTAACTGTTGAGATCTGGAAAAGGAAGAATTATTAGACTGAGAACTGGTTTATCATGTCGTGATATTTCCGCATACGTCATCTAAAACCTTAAGACAGTTATGCACATAATTGCAGTAATGTACAGAAAGTTCTGAACATAATCACGACGGACATGTAACTCAAATCCCTCTCTCTCAGAAAAAAAGTACACTACATGAGCAATCTCATCACCGAGAATGTTGCTCAAGGTACACCACAGGGAACTAAAGATTTTACGTGGACGCTTCCTCTCAGTTTTGATGGAAAATATCTCGGACGAATGTACCAGGGGTATTTCACCTCTCGTCCCGTACCATTAAACCTCTTGAGAAGGCTTTCGGCTTGCAGAATTTTAAGTGTACGGTGCATTTATACTACAAACATCCAATCCTTTCCCGGGATTCGAACTCGGGCTCAACGATACGGCAGCCAGCAGCACTAACCACTATACCATACCCATTTGAGGCGCAGTACAAACGGATAATATGTTAGCAGATATATGCAGAACCTAATAGGGAAGAATCATAGAAATTAGAAGTATTGAATGGCTTGGCAAAAAACAATCATCTCCAAATACAGCAACTAGTATTATTTAGCAAGCCAATTGTTATTACGACTTCCCTGAACCTTTCACTATAAACTGAAAAGAGGTTGCCCAATGATGTCAAACATAAGCACAATAAAACTTCGAATGAGAACAAGCACTACTTCTTGACAAATCACGATGGACAAATATTTGCTCACAGATGTAATGGAGAAAGGCACCAGGAAGGCGATTTGCAAAATATTTACCTGGGGTTTGATAGTTCACGACTGTGTTGCGTTTCATCTACGTTCTCACCATATATACTCTGCAGGTATCGTGAAAAATATATCATCTGTATATCTTGAATATAGGCGTTCGCTTTTAGCAAGACAGTGGTCGTCCTTACATCACACTGTTTAAATCTTCTATGTAGTTTAACCCGTACCACTACTTCATTGGACTTCCTCGTCCAGACATGGGAGAGAACTGCGTAATGCATTACTCATCTAGCCCCTGAATGTCGTCATTTGGTAAATATTAGCTCATAATTTCAAATATTTTGCCATCTTACTTTCTTTAATAATGTAAATGTCATCCTAAAAATGGAAGTTTATGGAAATAGAGACTAACGTTAGTAATTTAAAAAATTTAGCTAATAAATGCTGCTTAAATGCAGGCATTCATGAGCATAGAGGATTCATGAGGTACTCATGAGATCCCAAAACCCTTGCCATTCATAGCATTACCTGGAATCAATGATGAAAAATTTGGGATGCGTACAAAAAAATTTCTTCGAACGGATCTATCATTTCACACCTTTGCCTTGAACAATCTGCTCATGATATGTATAAGAAATATTGATCTAAGCTGCAAGATGATTTGTTGTGTTACTTATATTTGATACCACAAATCACCTGGCAACACTGTTAGCACAAATCTTTGCTGGTACTGCAGTTCCAGAGAATGTAGATACAATCATACCACAATTGTAACAATGATGACTCATTTGCATTTGAAAACTTATTTTAACTTATCGAATGAGGTAAAAGATTTAAAACAGTTTGTTATTACAAAATATTTGCATTTGAATCCAGGCTTTATCTAGATTTAGTACGTCATTTTTCATGGAGGTTTGGAAAATCATGTATACAACTTGCAATCTAATGCAATTATTTCTTCATCTAATTTATTCTTTTTATTAAAATTGTGTAAGAATTTAAAAGAACCTAACTGAAATAAAGACTGCAGTTATTCTGGAATGGTAATTAATAAATACCATTTTGAAAGTTACAAAATAAATATTACGTACTTCCTCTGCTCATCGCTGATGACTTTATCATCTTGAGCAACCGAAAAGACCCTTAGTTTGCAGTCCTTGAATCGGGATCGAGTTGTTAAGATATAAGGAAGTAGAAGCGTTAAACCTATGGAAGGAAAACAGATTTCAGTAAGAGTATTTTGTTTTTAATTTACGTTTAATACACTATCCTCTAATGTATCATGACGTGTAATTTGACGGATTGACCTAGCATGACATGTAGTTTGGTTTAGTTGACTATGGCAAAGCACACTTAAGGCTATCTGCCTAAGGTACGAAAAAGCCCATGCAGCCAGCCTATTTGCATGGATTTTGAACCCAACTCGGAACTACCAGTGTTCAAAAATTTTACCGCTCGGCCGCTGGTGGGCATGTAACTGAGAAGCGACTGAATGGATCTGAAATATGGAATTTACTTTATTTAAGCATAGCATTTTAAACATTTCAGATTTAATATACCTGAGCTATTCTAAAATTTTAAAGGCTCATGTATGATTTATTAAAATATTGCCATCTTGAAGTATTTTGATAAAACCCACGTTCTGTGCTTCTTTAGTACTTCTCTGTTTCTTTAGAAATTTAGGAGCTTCATGACGCTGTACTTCATAAAATGTATATTTTGTTATGGTTTGTTATGTTTTTTTATGTTATTCTAAAATCTTGTTGCTGTTATGAAATTTCAGGTTGTAACATATAGAGAAATATAAAAATTTGCCTGATATTGAAAATTATTTTCTAAAATTTAAAATTTGCTTTTTGATGTAGAATTGAAACTTGCCTCATCTCAAGCATTATTATAAATCACATACTCATTTTGTTTACATTAGTAGTGAGTTCTCAGTTAATTAGCTCTATATAAATGTAAATTTTATTGACATGAAAAGAATATCAGGAAATATGCTAATACACATATAAGGATTATGTTAATTTGATTAACAGTTAAATTTTGAGTTAAAGTTCCTTTCCTGTAGATTTTTAACTTCAACTTACTATTTCTGGCCAGAACGTAGTTTTAGAATCACGTCTGAATACATAATAAGGAAGAGCGGTATTTAACCGCGAAGCTCTTCGGTCTTAGTGAGAGAGATACCAGGTATTCTGTCTGCACGCGCCCGCCTTTTTAAGCTACTCTCTCGTAAGCTTCGTAAGTTCGGCCGTACTTTAGGCCCTTGATAGCTTCGCAGTCTATGAACGTTAAGGGGCCAACTCTATTAGAACTTTTGATAGCTTCTATATCTCTTTAGTTAAGATTAGTTTAGTACTATTCTTAGTCTCTTAAGTTCAAAGCCCAAGTGTCGACTTTATTGTACACTAAAAGACGGAGTTCTGTTAAACGTTAGTTGGAATAATAAAGGGTTCATTTACCCTTCGATCTTGTTGTTTCATGTCACACGAAATCAAGCGATTATTCGCTTATCAGTTCTTAAGATTCTTCCCTTCCATCAGTAACTTAGAATTCACAAAGTGAGGAACTCTACACACAAGAATGTACTCAAGAACACATATGTAAAGTTAAAAAAGGTTAAATTGAACGATATTTTTTGTTATAATACAACAGTGTTTTCGAGGCTGTGTAACATGTATAAAATGTAGCTTAGTTAAAAAATATGAGAAACTTAAATTTTCTGACAAATTAAAAGTTTTTGCTTCGTAATTTACTTTTCGCTGAAAAGTTGGGTGAAAGGAAAGGTTTAAGATATATAGAAATTTCACACACCTGATGGAGAAAAAAGAAAATGCATATTACTCACATTAGGTGACGGTTAACATTACCGTATTTGCCGGCGTATACGACCGGCCTATAAGAAGCACCCTCTATTTTATACCCATTTTTGAAGGATGAAATTTTATTACTGATCATTATAATGAATTTACAGTATTTTAAATATAAAGTAATACAAATACGAAGTAATACTTTCTGTAAATACCCAATTTATGAGTTGCTTTTGTTTAGATACTCTTCCTGATTCCACCAAGTTCTTATCAGTTTCTCAGTTGGAGGTGGCCCGAAATGCCTCTCTACAGCTCTGCTTCCATGTTCTTTAGCATAAGCATAGCAGTGCCGACGTTGGCTTTAAGCCATAACTTGAGCAACAAATTTAAGAAAACTGAATTGTAGAAATTTCACACTTAAAAGTCGTTGACAAAAATTCGAAAGTTTAAACGAACCTAGCTGTGATCGTCGATGACAGCGCATGCGTATTCACTGAACTCTACGTAACTGTAATATTCTGACACTCCGCAAGGAAGCAAGAAAAAAATTGCATAATTCCAAATAGAGGAAATTTTCAGAACTGAGTATCGACGTATAAGACGCACCCCATTTTCAGCCCTATTTTCAAGTGAAAAAGTAGTGTGTCTTATATGTCAGCAAATACGGATAATACATTATGATGTATTATAATAATACAATGTGGGATAATACATTATGATCTTTTATAATAATACAATGTGGGATTATACATTATGATGTATTTTAATAGTACAGTGTGGGATAATACATTATGATGTATTATACCATCGTACGGATTTTATAGAAAAAATATTGAAACAAAGGTATTTAACTTTCCAAACGTTATGGATGTAAAATTCCATATCGAAGAATGGCTTTCCCATTCGTCACACATGAAAATTTCTGACAGATCCTTATGAATCCGATGTTAGACTAGATGTATATTTTAAAAAAAGGAACCAAGCTACACGGTAAGAGGGTCATTTTGAAATTATAATCCAGAAATATGGTATTTTATGGGTCTCTGAAATTTCAGGGCCAAACCCGTAACGCTGGGAGAGTTAAAAAAGGAGCTTTTATTTAAAACTCATAAAATAATTAACGAACTGAAAGAAGGAAAATAACTGAGTAGTTTAGAGGAAATAATGGATTAAAAAATTCTCTTTACGGAGTTCATCAACAAATTTATATCACGAATAAATAAAATGTGGGGCGTTATATAGTAATATTACTTCATGTACCGAGCTGCTGTTCTCTGAATCGGTCATCAGACAGAAGGTTCTCATGCTAAAACTCCAAAGACAAGCTTATGCAAACATTATCTTGTAATACACAAAGCACATACTAACTGAGTTAGCAGCTATCTTATATCTAATATACATCGCAATTTGGTTTTGAAATATATTTTACAAAGCACGTAACCGAATTTGATCACGTAAATTAACGAATAGTTAACTTAATAATACCACAAGAATTAAAAAAATATTTTGCTTTTTAAAAAGAAGAAATTGAAACTAAACTCCTTACCACCATCATCGTATAACCACCAAACATCAATATTTCCTTTCTTCTGCTTGTGATGAAATGTGTTAGCCATGATGTGGTTAAAATGATCCTTTGTGCGAGCATATATTTCCTTTTCTTCTAGTTGCACTGAGTGTTCTTCAATCTGTAATTCTTTGCATACAGCTGCAGCAAAGTCTGACGTAGACAGCTCGGTGTGTTTTGTAATTGTATTTGCATATGATGGAGGAGCAGAATTTCCTTCTATATAAGATGGTTCTTCAAGTACAGTTTCTAGTGGTAATTTCGTACCTATGAAGGAATAAAATAATTGTATTACAATTGGTTATTGCAAAGTATTTTCGATCTGTTCATCGTGACTACCATTTGCTTTGCTTTTTTGAATATATATTTTTATATAACGATACATGTAATAATATTTAAATATATATTGGTTAATCCCCTTGAATATATTGATATCAAATACCAACTAGATATTAATGTTTTGTGAAAGAAAAAAATTTCTGATACAATGTTAAAAGCAAACCCATTATGTATGTTACACGAACAACAGTCTGCAAACTAAATGACCTAACGTGTACACTGGTGGCTCTAAAATATAAGACAACGCTGGGACTGGTGTGCACAGTAAACGCTTTTCATAATGTACTCCTGTAGGACACTTCATGTCGAATTTTGATGCAAGTATCCTTGTAATCTCCCTAGTTACAGAAAACCTCAAGATAAAAATCAATTGTTCCTCTAAAGCAGTTATTCTAGTCGATTCTAAAGCAGACATCCAGGCTGTATTTAAAAATCCCCACACAGATACCTTGATTATCTCAAAAATAAGACAAATCTTGAACTTTCTTTATAAATACAACAAAACAATTATTTTTCAATGAATCCTTTCACATGTGGGTATCGACAGCAACGAAAAGGCAGACTCACTAGCCAAGAGAGGAACACTTGAGCCACAACAACAAACCACTTCCACCAGAGTCACTTAAAAAGCATATTTTTGAGAAATTCATGGATACTCTTAAATCTGACCAGGTAGCAAAATCAACCTGGGCTAACATTGAAGACACCTGGAAAAAGTTTTGTCAAAAAGCCCGTAAACATACTGTCGCAAACTTCAGACTGCAAACAGGCCACGATTGCATGGCACATCATCTTAATAAAATAGGCATCCTTCCATTCAGTATATGGCAAATTTGTAATTCGGGATTCATGAATGCAGACCATTTTCTTATATGCCCAGAACTAGATAAAGAGTCTCAGAATTATAGTGAGATAAGCAAACTATACTGGAATTCCAGAATTTTCATGAATGCCTTTTAAAGACTGAATCTCTTATGTTTCTTTTCTTGTTGTTTAAATTTTTAAGTTTTTAATTATGTTCCCATGTTCATTTGTTCAGGTTCTTACTTTAAATATTTGTTCTTTTTTATTATATATCATTGCTTTTGTGTGATACTTGAGCTATTTTATATGTTTGGATTGATCCCTCCAATAAAGCCATATGTAACAACAACATTTAAATATGTGTTATAGTCACGAATGTTCGACATACTTAGCATACAAAAGCCCTACAGCGCAACCGTTCTGCATTGATATTACAGTGACCGTAAAGAAATAACTGTATCCAACACTCACAAGTAGCTATCATTTTTTAATAGTGGGCACTAGCCCCATATATATATTTTTACGTCGGGCGCTAGCCATTGTTTAGGCTTTCGCCACTTCTAAGGACAGAAGAGGTGGTCATTTTATTATAGAGGCATCTAAAAGGCATCCACCGTTACCTTCTATAAAGAAACAGACAATTTACATTCATATCTTCTCCGGGGTTCGAAACCGGGCCCTGCAGTACGACAGTCGACTCACTAACCACTTTTCCACCTGAGCAGCCTAGTAGCTAACATAACATGCCCCACTATGCTTTACTAGTGGAAAGTTTACGACGCACATGTATCCGTAGTGTCCGTAATTTGCTTCTGTTTCAGAGTTAAAGATTTTAGCACCCATTTTTCCTAGGTGGTAAGAAGTGATGAACTTGTAATTGAGACACATCTGCCAGTCCATCCGTTATTATTCGATGATCTTCTCGAAGCGACAATCATATTGGCTACGTTTATCATAATATACTATTGACTGCATTAACAAGAGTTTAAGTAGAAATACTGTTTTGCTTTGAAAATGAAACACGGTCGGTCGTCTTTAAATTGTTTTAAGTATCGAAATGCTATCAGTTGCGATAAAACATCTTAGCCATATGTCAGCTACAACATTTCATGACATAGCATCATTTACTTTGTTCCTATACAGTGTGGCTTTTCTTTTACCTTTTTATTTAGCTTGTTTTTCTGTTTGTTACCGTTAAATTTTAACTATGTTTCATCCCTTTCTACAGCGCCAATTCTTTTTAAAATTTACCACCGATATATATTTGCAGTAATAGTTCAATATTATATAAATATTAAAAAAAATATTTATTGTTGTCTTTCAAATATTCTCTTTCAGCTGCCAAACTAATCATTGCAGAATTCGTTTCTTAGCACCACTGGATAGGATGAAAAACAATTTTTTAAATGGCGTTTTGAAATGTGAAATTTCACCAATTTTTAGACAGTTTTAAATTTCACTAATTTTCGGACAATGTTTGTGTTTTGAAAATTCACAGTTTTCGGACAATGTTAAGAAATCCTTCTATCTTTTTAACTTTATAACTAACTTTTTAGCTACTAATCAATGATGGGTTTTTAGATCAAATTTTATTCGTTTTTGCTAGCATCATCGTTGATTTCAAATAGTTATGAGATCGAATTTTTAAATCAAGTTGAAATTGTAGTGGTTTAATGCTGTCCAGGCTCAACGGACAGATCGGAAGGCAAAGACAGGGGAGAAAAAAAAAGATCACATCGTATGCCTCTTATTATTACAATTGGTAAGAAAAAATAATTTTACTACCTTCACAAATGATGATTTTGTTAATAATTTTCTTCCCACTCAATAGACTGAAATGTGTAAAATTGTATAAAAAGCATTTTAAACTATACAGGATGTCCCGTAAATGTCGCGGGACACATTTACGGGACATCCTGTATAGCTTTAGTTAAGGTAAGTAATTCTTCAAATTATCATAATAGTTTTAATTATAAGTGAATAAAATCGTAAAATGCTCATATTAAAATTGTTTTGGGACATTAATGGAATTCCAAGGAACAATAGAACTGATGCTATAGAAAGGGAATATATAAGAATGATTACATTCAGTTCCCTCTTTGACAATTTAAAATCTGTCATTTTTTGATGAAACATCATTTTATTTAAAATTACATATTAGAAAGAATACTGCGATAATTAAAGTGTTTTTATTAGTGCATTATCTAAAACAGTATAAATAAAAATCATTTTTAATTGCACCATTCCATGCGCTTACGGGGTGGATTTCTGCAAATGAATACATATAAGTTCAAAGCTGCATGATCAAACATCATTTTCCGCAGGCGATAAAGAATTCGCTTTATATTTGCGGTATTCCACCAAACGCATTGCCAGATTTATTTACTATAATTTCTTTTCCAAGTAAAGAAATTACAATTTCATACAAATGCTATTCCCCAAGTTCAAATTATTCGTGAAGATTTATTTCGTTGCTACATATTACTTGCTTGTTAAAAATAAATTCATCCTCAATTTCTTCTTTTATTATCCTACACATGCAGTTGTAATGATCTGTCTCTATTACTCCACATAAACTAAGTTAGATCCTACAATGAACCTGGCGAATTTTCGCAGAGGCGTGAATAAATTCAGCACGGAAGAAGGTGTTACTGTAGAGAAATTAGGATTTTTTTTGAAGCAGGAGTCATGAAAAATGAGCAGTGCCTTTGCTGGAACTCGGATCTCTCGAATACGCGGCAAGCGTGCTGACCACTACACCACGAAGGCATGCTAAGAGGGCGGGAGAAATACCTTATACAATATATGACTATCATTGCAAATGCAAGTTGCAATGATATGATTGTAAAAATGTAAATTGCAAATGTATCATTGAAAATGCACAGATACAGAACTCTGATTAAAAGTTTTTAAGCTTTTATCCAATCCCAAATATTGATTACTTTGATGAATGCGATTATTTTGATGAATACTCCACTCAGAGATCGTGAATTTTTTTCCGAAATGGGCACTTTCTAATTTCAGATTGGTTTCAAATGAGCACCTTCTTCTTCAGATTCATCTTATCTTTTCCTCTGGTTTGAAGCTATAGCTACAAAAACTCACACTTTATTTCTCTTAGCCGCATGGAACGTTCTGTTCTCTTACGATTTATTGCTGTATGTTTGAGATTATCTAAACAGTTGTAAAAATTTAATAAAACATATTTTATATCTCGAAATCTATTTGAATGTGTTTTTTTACTATATTAAGTACTTTATTAAGAACTATCATTTGGTTTTTGAGAAACGATATACATCCAAGCGCAGACCTCCACATATACTGTGAATATATAAGCGGAAAACAAAATTTCTGGTTTTCATTAGTGATTTGAAGCTGAGTGATTTTAACTGCTTCATGGTTTGAAATTATTACTATGCTTACATTGCGATTTTTGCTTTTTTCGAGCTTTCCCTTTTCTTTCATGTCCAGACACCACAGGCAGACCCTCCTCAGTATCAAAATGCAAGGAATAATCAGTTCCTCCTAGCACTCTCAAAATACATAACGATAAATGGGCATCTAAAGTTTCACTGAAAAGTTTAGAAGAAAAGTAATGTAATTAGATAATACATTTTACACAAAGACTAACATTAATATATTAGTGAAATTTAAATTACATTAATATATTACTGAAATTTAAATTACATTAATATAGTACTGAAATTTAAATTGAAATTAAATTGATTTAAATTTGAATTTAGATAATTAAGGGAAGTTGGAACTCAAAAATCTTCAAAAAATTGTAATTTCGGATTTTTGCATTTTCAATTTCTCTACACTTTTATATTCATTTTCTACATTACCTAATCATTCTTTAATCTCTATGAAAATTAGAACTGTAAAAAATCTAGTTTTAATTTGTCATCGAATGTTTTGATCAATAGGGATTTTTAATAACGTGATTTTTTTATACTCGATGTACCTTTCTCAGGAACTACTGCTCACAGGTATTTAAAATTTTTATGGCTTATTAAGTTTCCTAATACTTACTGAAATGAGCTTTTTGTGATAAACTGAGAAAAAAAAATTAAATATTTTTGTGTGAGCAAAGTGCTAAATTTTACTATGCCTAACAAAATATTCTGTAAATTACTCTAAAATGTTTCAAGTAATCAGATAGGTATGCGTTTATCACACAAAAAATTTTAAGCATGTATCTACAGCAGATTTTGAGAAAAGGTACATCGAAAATGGCCAATTTAACATTGTCGATATAAGGGTTGCTGATACTCCTTAAAAATGTTACTGAAATGTGGATAAAGCTAAATTTTTCAAAAGATATTTTCTAACTGAAATCATAACTCAATAGGAAGTTTAGAAAAGACACGGTATAAAAATTAGTTTCGTTCTGCATGTAATTATAACTTTAGAAATTATACAAAGCCAGAAAATAAAATGTTCATTGCAAGGGAAAGCGTTAGAAAAATAAATATATACTGTTATAGAGTTTGGTGTTCCTTAGTAACATACACTAGATTCAAAACAGTAAAAGACTATCTGTGAATTATCACTATGTTTTGTAAGCACCATTGAGAAAGGGAAATAGTGTAAAGGACCCTTTTATTGATTTAAATGGAATTAAACAGTTGGCACCAACTTGTGCTTACAAAACCAACAGTTTTCGCTTAAATTAGCGATAATTGGTTAACTAAAGCTAATAAAAGTAACTTAGCCTAACGGGTTCACAACTGGCACTGACCTTAGGTCGGCGTAGACAACCCTAATGGCAAGAATATCTCAACGCCCCAGAATATTAATCCTAAGAGAATCAAATTTAGCAACGTGGCCTTCAACCAAGCAGAACACGCTCTAATTCTACTCTCTAAAACTTTCCTTTAAATAATCCCTTCTTTTTATCTCATTTGAATATTGCGCGAGTTAGAAATTTACATTCTGGCAGGAAAATGGAAATTAGGGCAATAGGATAGAAAAATAACATAAAACAACTATTAATTTAGAAGTCAAACAACAAAATTCAGCGTTATATTTTCAAATTTTCACAGGACTAATTTCGATGGTTTTACCGAACCATCATCCTCAGCTGCAAAAGCGCAAATGGTTCGCAAGATGACGAAAATCACGTTGAAAAAACAAGAAAGCAAAAAAAATGAGCCTGTTTGGAGCTTCTATAATTAAGATACAATAACACGACGTGGAAAAAAAAAAGCAAAAAATAAGTCTGTTTGGAGATTCTATAATTAAGATACAATAACACGTAGAAAAAAAAAGAAAGCAAAAGATAAGCCTGTTTGGAGCTTCTATAATTAAGATACAATAACACGTAGAAAAAAAAGAAAGCAAAACATGAGTCTGTTTGGAGCTTCTATAATTAAGATACAATAACACGAGCTATTGTATTATTAAAATTGTGTCTTAATTCTTATAAAATAACTAGTTAGACACTAAAATGGTATCTTGTACTCTACAAATATTTCATGCTATTTATCATAACATAAATGCAGTACACTTTATAAAATATTATGCAGACGAATAAATTGAAATAAGTTAATTAAATTACATAAAAAATAAGTAAGTAGGTTTACTAATTCCTGATGCTGAAGTTGCTGGATGCTTAGATCAATAATATCCGCACAACTGAATGTCAGATCTGTAATTGTACCAATGCTACTCCTTTTGAGATTAAATTAAATTGCAAAAAAGGATTCGACACTCTTAATACCCAAAGGAATGACTCTGAACTGAGATGCAGGGAGATCAATATCCCGAAATACACAGGAAGAGACACTGATGATATGCTGAGTCGTGAAATGTATTTGAATCTTTAATATTTGCGCTCCTTCTTTTCTGTAGTAAACAGATCTTGATAGGTATAGCTTTTCTGTAGTAAACAGAGCTTGATAGGTATAGCTGACATCGTGCAGTAATATATTATATTATTTCTACTATGAATTTCCGTTGCATTGAGATTTTAACTAGAATCTATTTTAATCCTTTTGGTAAAGTTACATAGCATCAGGAAGACTATTTCGATAATTATAATTAATTAATATATGATTATAGATTTAATTAATTAGATTATATAATTAAAGCAAAACACTTGAGAGCTATTTGTCAAAGGAAGTATGGCCTCATGAAGCACTGTTTAAAGTAAACTGGCTTACATTCACTTTACACATGAAGAATACTACAGAAACACTAAAGCAGCCAGCCTGTCTGCTAGGATTCGAGCCTACGTCGATTATTGGAGAAAATGATGTTTAGAAGTTCTTCTTGAACAAAATTATTAAAAATGCACGTAACAAAATTAAAAAAAAATCTGAGTTTTATCATCGGTATATAAAACTGCTTATCAACTGTATATTTAACCAATAATTTATTATTTTAATGATTATATATACATAGAATTGTTACACTTCGAAGATAAACTGATGAATGTTTAATAAACTGTAATACAATAATTTATGATAATAGCTATAATCTAGAATTCACAAAGCATCTATAACTGATTCTTTAGTTACATTACATTAGATCTTTGGCTTTATAAGAATTAATAAAAGAATTTGAAAATAAGCACTTTTTTCAGACTTATTAAACATTTATCAAGCATGTTTTCAGAATTACTAAAGTATTTCATGCACCCGTTTAGTTTCATCTACTAAACGCAGCAGAGAATTAATAAGACTCACTGAATTATGTCAAAATATTCCAATGTCTCTTTGGCATCACATGTTTTCCAATTTTCTTTAAATCCCACCATTAGAATGTTGGGCTTCATTTTACCTATACCGGCTGTCTAGAATAAATGATATATCTTATTACAGCAAATTAATATCTATCGAGACATCAGGTTATTATATATAAAGGGAAAACAACAGAAGAATGGCAGAGAAGAATTAGAAGAATTTCAAACAAAAATTTGGGACTAAACATTTCGAAAATATTGAAAACAATAATGATCTGAAGAGAACTTAGTTGAATCAATGTTAATTATGCTTTTGAAATTATTTTGGATTGCATATTTTTGTTTTAAAGCTACATAAAATTTTTTGTTCGAATTTATTAGTTAATTGTAAGAATTTGTTACCATACCTTAGTTTTATGAATTATAAATTCACTTTATGTTTGCTATTTTATTTTATTGCTTCAAAAGGATGCTAAAATTTAAAAAAGGATTTTTAATATATATATATATTTATATATATTTAAAGCAAAATAAAATAAATAACATGTTTAAAATTCATCTCATAGTCAATTCGGCATAAACAGACAATCATGGTAATCATCATAATCATGGTAAGAAGTACTGCGTCACGTAAATAAGATAGTGGTTGCGAATGCTGACTGCCGTACCGGAGGGCTTAGGTTCTAATCCTGGAGAAGACATGTATGCTTGTAAATGTTATTAAATATCACATTGTTGGCGGTTACGCCGCATAAAATACGATTCAACAGCAAAATCGCAAAATATTTAAAAACAGCATATCTTTAAAATTTCCGTTCTATAAACAGTCTCGCGTGCTGGAGATAAAAGTGCTTTTTTCTGTACATCGTTGCCACTGCTCGCTTTGAAATCCTTGAGTTCGTTAATCAAAAATTCGTTAAAATTTTACAGAATATGAAAGAGATAATAAAGCAAATTCGAAATTCAAAATTCGGGCCTCCAGGTGCCTATGTTCGGGTGGAGGATTATGCTATTCAAAATTGGATGGCTGTAGGTACCGTTGTTTTTCACAGTGCGAGAAACATGCATACATTCATGCAGATTTTTCATTGTTTAATTTTTTAAATATAATACATTTGGTGTCAACAATTTAAAAAGTTATACGCCGTTTATAATGATTCAAACCAAAATGCCGTTCCAAAGTAATATTCCATTCGGGAGTAACGTCCCTTTTGGGATAATTAGAATATTAATAAACGTACGTATGCATGCATTGAATTATGAACTTTTTTTATTGAATTATGAAATAAACACTACGACAGTAGCATCAGAAACATAAATGAAAAATCTGGCTTTTAAATAAATTATTGCTCAGTTATATTTTATGATACCTAAACATTGATTTGTCATATTTTACTAACTGTCGAGAGAGGAAATGGAATATTAATCTAAATACTAGTTTAAGAAATTAATCATAAACAAAGAATCAAAATTATATGATAGACTATACTGAATTGAAGAAGGGAAATATCATTAATGATTCAGAAAGAATTAACTGCAGTTAGTCATAGAAGTAATCCTGTTGTCATCATAGTAATTGAATATATATCTCCTTAATTTGTTTAGAACATGAAATATTTTAGTTTGATAGCGATAGTATGCATTTTGATGGTCACCTTTATACGTAGCTGATGATCTTGATTTCGCTAGGAGATGATAATCGTAGAGAAAAATAATAATTGATATCTATTTATATTCTTAGAAACAGTACTCGATTTCAAAACTAGTCTCGTAAGAAAGTGAAGAAAAGGTTCATTATACATTTATTTTCGAAAATGGAAGTTTCTGGAAGATCATTGTCACAAAAAATTCATTTTACATCTATATACCCACACGCACATTGATAAAATAAATCTTTCGACATTGCACACGCATATACACTGATGTGCCACTGAATTAGGGATAGACATGGCTATACAAATTTTATATCGCTGCGCGTCATCTGTGCTCACGTGAGGAAGTTGTGGTAAATGTAGATACAGCTAGTGCTGTTTTTTAATCAGTCGTTTCAATTAACAGTATGGGTAAAACTTCTGATTTAGACAGCTTCAATCTCGAACAGAGAGTAGACACCCATTCAATTTCCAAAATCCTCAGCGGAGTAGGATTTTCAAGGTCAATAGTGTGAAGAGTATACCGAGAATACACGGATGGTGTAAAAAAGGACTAGCGATCGGGCAAATTGCAAAGGACAATTAACCTAGAACAAGCGTGGTGTGAGGCGGCTCAGCCGTATTGTACATAGTTAACGAAGCCAAACATTAGCTCAAATTACCACCTACCAACAGAAAGGCGACAGTTCCGTAAGTTAATCAACGCGCGTTCACCATATGGACTTCGGAAAGCCGTAGCCCACAGAGTACCTTTGCTGAATGCATGCCCTCGTGCACCTTACCTGGCAGAGAATACGAGATAGACTCTAGTGGACTTGAAATGGGTAGTAGGGTGATAGTTCGATTCCGGATATTAATACGATAGGAGGTGAGAAGTGCGTCAGACTCATGAAGCCTGAACCCTGTATGGCAAATTTGAACTGTACAAGGCCATGGTGGCTTTATCATAGTCTGGGATGTTTTCTCTTGGCAGTGTTTGGGGTCTTTGGTACTTGTAACAACCTCCCTCTGTATGATTCGGTACGTAGAGTTGCTGGGCGATCATCTCCATCCATTTATGTTGCCCTGTCATTCAGACGGAAATGGGGTATCCCAGCTAGATAAGAGCATCTCTCATAGGTCCCGGTTGGCTACTGCGTGGTTGGATGAGCGTTTTTCGAACTTCACTTTCATGAATTGGATACTTAAAAACCCTGACTTAAATTCTACTGAACATCTTTCGGACGTTTTGGAGAAAGGTTTGAAACCTCATCACACAACACTAGCGACTCTTCCTAAATTATAGACAGCTTTATTCGTCGTTTGGAAGCCATTATAAAGGCCAGAGAAGGCCCAACTCGTTATTGATTAGCTATCCCTAATTCAGTGGCACTTCAGTGTATATAAGAATAAATCCTCTTTTGAATTATATATATAATGAATAATTCAAATGATAACAAATACAGATGACATATATATATATATCACTTTCGAAATAAGTGCAGAAATGATAGTTAATAGTTAATTTCTCATTTTACCTGAATCAGACTACAGACACCATTTAGAAAGGTGTCTGCTTCAACTAAGCAAAAGAACGCTTTAACCTTTCTTTCTGTAAGCCACTTGGAATTCATTTCATTCAGAAGTCGCCGATCCTGCCAGCTCTTCGATTCCTGAAAAAAAAAAGTAACAAAACTGTTCTCTGTAATAGGATTTGATTCTGAAATTCTGTAAGTTGATGAGGAAAAATATAATGATTAATTTGAGAGAAAAAAACTTCAATTTGAAGCTTCTGGTTAGAGCCTAACATCAAATATGTTATTAAATATTGTAAATACCAATAAATGATAGAATTATTTACTAAAGAAAAGATTTCATTATTTAAGATGGAGGTGTGAATGTACACGAAGTTTGCCACAAATACTTTCTTCATTTGAGTTAGGAAAAGAAATCCTTTTACTGAAAACAATAAACACTACTTAGAAGTTTAAAAATTTCAAACATTGCTTTGAAAATTTATTTGTTTCATTTTTATATGAAAATGACAGGAATTATTTTGAAAGTAAAATATCAAACGTCTCTCACACAACATATAAATAGGGAAATTAAGGAATGGACCCAAATTAAAGGTACTGGACTATTTATTCTGATCATTCATTCTATATCTTTTATTTTACATAAACGTAGACACTCTGTAGAATTTTCATTCTTACAATTAAGGTATTTTAATCGTTCTCACCTTTGAGATGCGAGCACATATTTGAAGACCGAGGTCCTTAGTGAAATGTCCTGCCAGGTCTACTAACTGAGGTCTACTACTTGCGTTGCCAGAAAGAACTAAGACCGCTGGTCTGGAAGTATGCAAAATAAAATAACCAGTTATTAGAGTATCAAATTTTACAGCATAATTTAATAAATTATTAGCTACATAAATTAAAAATATGAGTTTAAATTACAATAATATCGAAATATAAATACGAAAAGTTTTTTTTTCAAGGTCCGATCGGTCGCGAAATGAAAATCAAAATGAAAATCAAAACTGTTCATTTGATTTTCATATTTAAATACATCGTATTAATCTCTACATAGTCGCCGCTCCGACTGAGATATTTCTCGTTGCGTGGTGTCAACTTTCCAGTATCCTAATCATTGAAGGTAGCCGCCTGTGGTTTCAGCCAATTCCTTTACGCTGCTCTGCAGCTCTTTGTCTGAGCCCAGCTTCTGCCCTCCTAGCACACTCTTCACATGAGCAAAGAGATGGTAATCGGAGGTAGTCAAGTCCGAGTTGCATGGTGGGTTATGAAACACGTCCCATCGAAAACACTGCAGAAGTCTATTTTTTGCAGCAAGCAGGTAAACAATTCCAAGCAGGTAAACAACAAAGTGTTAAAAACACGAAATGCGAGAGAGAAATTAACCTCATTGGCTTCAGAGGTTCACACGCGGTGCACATATTAAAAGCCAGTCATTCAGTATCCAAGTGTAATAAGTTTTTAAATCTGAATGTTCAGGAGCGCTTTAATTTTATCAAGAAAAACAATATCTGTGACTCAAATATTTTCTTTCAAATCATAAAATTTTAGAATGTAGATGTATTTATAAGTGTAAAAAGTATTTTAAAATCATTATTTACTGCATTTTGAAGGAGTTCAAAATGAGCCAAAAATGCGTAAAAGATTTACTGACAGTTCGAAAGAGTTATTAGTGATGGCTAAATCGGGGTAGAATTTCATGAGTTCTAGCCCAGCAATTAAATCATCTTGTGTATCAGACTTTAATTTTCAGCATGAGAATTCATTAAGTATTAAATTCACCTGGTGAATACCAATTGTGTACAGCGATGTTTGATCCTGGAAGCCAAGCGAACCTGATTACAGAAAAGTGTATAAAGAGATTAGTGTTATCGAGAAGAAATGCGAAGGTTTTTATATTTCATGCTTAGGATCGTCGGATACAAAAATAATGGAATTGCTAAAATGTCATTTACAACACCAGTATTTATTATCAATAGAATTATTGGAGCGTTGCCTCCTTTTACATTGGGTTTGAAGTACATTGAGGAATATAATGATTTAATGCTAACGGATTCAACATTCTACAAGAGTGTGCCTGTTAATATGCTTTTAGGCGTAGCAATTTCTTTACCGCTTCTGAAGGGGGAAACGATTAAATGCGGAGAAGATAAACCAGTAGTCTCTGGTTCTGAACTAGGATGGATTATTTCGGTTAGTGTGAATACTTAACAAAGGTTAACTCCGTTATCTGTGTGAATAATATACAAGCGGAGACGAAGCAGATGCTGTCGAACTTTTGGAAATTAAATGCTGTGCATACATTTGATATGCTTATCAAATCGGAGAAAGCATGTGAAGATTACTTTAAATATACAAGAGAGGAAAGTAGTGTATATAATGTGAAATTACCCTTTCATTCTTCGACTTCACAGCTTGAAAATTCGAGACATTTATTTATGAGTAGATTCAAATCTTTAGAGAATTCACTTTTTAAATAGCCTCAGATATACGAAAAATATAAAGATTTCATGAGGGAATACATTAAGCTGAAATATGTGGAGAGAGTAACTGACAGAGAGATTTTTACTGATTCTTCGTACTTCATGCCTCATCATGCCGTGTTGAAGGAATCAAGTACTATTACTAAGCTGAGCGGCGTTTTCGATGCTTCAGCTGCAACAACGTCGGGTGGTACATTCAATGATTATTAAATGAAGGCCAGCAGTTCGGCAAGAGCTGTTTCCAATTCTTCTACGGTTCAGAACTTACAAAGTCGTGGTATGTGCCGATGCAGAGAAGATGTTTAGACCAATTCAAGTTCATCCAGAAGATACGAATTGGAACGAATAGTATGGAGAGATAGTCCTAGTGAGCCCTTGAGTGCATTCAGATTAGTAACGATTACGTATGGAACTGCCAGTACCCCGTATTTGTCTAAACTCTACATATAATAAAAGAAAGAGTCTGTCTGTGGGTATGTCTTTTGTTCGTGCTGTGCATAAGCTAATAGAACCAGTGCTACGAAGTTTGGTAACACAGGGTGCATGAAGGGTGCCAGTGCACTTCGAAGCGAATTTTTCAAAATTCGAATGAGATTTGTTTTTAATTTTATGTTATTTGAGGAAATTGTATCAAATCGATGACACGCAGCAACAATGGCTGCACACTTTTGCCATTGTTGCTGATATCAGCACTGTTGCCACTCGGAAAAATGAGGGCGATAATTCGATGCAGTTTTTAATTTAATGTTTCTCTTAGATACTGGACTTTTGTCGAGAGACGTTTGTTTTCCGGGAGATTTAAAAGCCAGACGAAGGCTGGCCGCATAGTGACTATAATAAAACAATTGCTTTAGATGAGCAAGATAGAGTCCCTTTGGCATCAAGAACTGTCCTTCGTTACTTTTATGTAGATGATTTACTTTTAGGAACAAAAATTCAAGAAGAAGAGAAAATTGTTCAGCAATTAACTGAAATGTTGAAAAAAAGTGGATTCCGCTTAGGGATGCGGATTTGAAGAGTTAAGCTGTTTTAGAGAATATTTTTGAGTAGTTACGAGAACCCAATACTTTTCTGGAAATAAGCAGGGATATGAAAGTGAAGGTATTGGGTATATTAACTGGAAACCCTCTAGTGATACTTTTCCTTTTTCAGAATGCATAAATAATAAGTATTTCACCAACAGAACTATTTTATCAGAGGTGGTCAAACTCTTTGATTGGCATTGCTAGCGCCAACAATAATATATGCGAAAATATTGTTACAAGAGTTATGGAATTTACAGGTTGGTTGGAATGAAATCGTTGATAACAAAATAAGTAGAACGTGGAAAAGATTTTACTTAGAATTACCCTTACTATCAACTCTACAAATTGCGAGGTATATTTTAAGTTCGAAGGCAATTATTATAGAAACTCATGCTTTTTTTATGTCGCATTAGAAAAGCTTATTGTAGAGTTATCTACTTCAGAACAATCAACTTTGATTCTTCAGTCATTGTGAACCTTCTGACATTAAAAAGCAGAGTTGCTGTCTTAGGAACCTAGTCTCTTTCAAGAGTCAGAGTTACGTGCTGCGTTGCTTTTAACCAATCTCTTAACATTCAGTGTTATCACGCATAGAACTGCCAATTAGCAGTATTTACGCATGGAAGACTTATGGGTTACATTGGCATGATTTTTTTATACGAGCCTCACCGTTGGCTACCTTTTGCGGCAAAACGGGTTGCGAAGGTATTGGATGGAATTTTATCGCTGGAAAAGAACATACTGCAAACTGTGGGACCAGAGGTTTTATTCCATCAGAATTTTTATGATTCGAGTTGTGGTTGAAGGTACCACAGTGGTTAAACCAATCTATAATTCATGTACAGCAAGATTTAAATGTAAGATTAGAGAATGAGGTTATGTTATGGAAAACGTAAAAGATTTTTATTTCAAATGCTTTTAATTTCGGAAAGCTCAGTGCATTTTCGAAGTTTTCGTCATGGTTACAGCTATCTAGAGTATTAGTGTGGTGTATAACGTTCAAGAATAAATGTAGAAAGTTAATTATTTATCTACTGAATAACTTTGTGAAGTTACTTTTTGATTGTTAGGATTATACAAAGACCTGAATTTTCAGAAGAAGTATTCTGTTTAGAAACGGGTAAACTCTTGAAGGCGTAGAAGAAGAGAAGGAGTTAAAATCTGTTGCAATTTTGTGCGGTACAAAACGAATAAAAATGTACAATTGAACTTCTTATTTGAAGTGCCGTACTGGAATCTAAATTATTTCAAAGCTATCATGTTTTCACTTACTTTCTTTTTCTAAGAAAATAACACTGAAAAGGACATACTGCAAATTCTTTAAAGTTATTAGTGCTGTTAAATTTCTCTGTTAAATTGCACAATTTAATCATCAATATTACCTGTAATTTTTTACATGTTCTTCGACTCTTGAAAGTTTGTTAAGGTGATGAAGAGCGTTTCTGTACACGTAGCCTTGAAAAGATGAACCCCAATTTATATCTGAAGGAAAACAAAAACAGTAGATAACAACAAGTTGGCATAGTTAACATCAAAGTAAGGTAAAGTATTTCTTTTATGAGCCCAATATGAAATATTCATGGAGAAAATTCCAATTTTTATTAGTCATTTGAAAGCCTGTTAGTCAATTAGAATGTTAGCCTAAAATATCAAGCCAATTTCGCGTAAATTACATTTTTGTGTATAATTAAAAAAAGGTCGAATAATTAAATGCCTGTTTATGATTTAGTAGCGAATAAATAAACGCTACTAAATCATAAGCAATAAAATTCTTCGGTATAGCGTGGGTAAATTTGCAAAACTGTAGTGCAAAAGAGCTGAGTGGCACTTTCTGTTTCAGCTGCAAGAGTGAAAGTGTCGAAAAAGAAACATGTACATTTCACACAAAAAAGTGGGGGGGGGGCAGTTTTATATCTTACTTTCTACTACCTCGAATGACGAAATATGATTTACGTTTCTCATGTCTCAAAAGCGCGACCGACTTAATTGGACTTTTTCTGAAATGACATACAGATTTTGTTTTATATATCGATTCTACGACTTAAATTATGCCTAAATATTAAATTTTGTAAAATAGCAAAAATTTCAAAAATTTATCTTGGCACATATTTTCAGTTTCCGCCAAGAATAATTCCCTTTGCGAAATTCTTAATTTATGGTAACCTATTTAACCTTCTCTTTGATTGTGAAAAACAGGAAAAAAGCTGCATCGTTCAATCGTTCATTCTTCTAAATGATTTCCTTTATATTTTATTTTTTAACCATAATTGTTATTTTTTTGTCCGTAAATAACATTTGAAGTTTTCTTGCTTAAAACAAAGATGTTAAATTTCAAAATGCGTCAAAATGTCAATTCCCACATATCTTAGCAAATTTTGAACCAAAAATTATAATATTTTGCAGATATGGTTAGAAATTTATCTACTTTTAAAACCATGGAAAAAATTTTATAGGTTACAATCCAAAAACGTTTTCGAAAATTCCTACAAATTACTAAAAGATGCAAATTAAAAAAATAAATCAGAAAATACCTGCGAATTTAATTAGAATTGAAAATAATTTCAAATTGCGAAAGAAAGAAATTAAGAAACATATACCAAATTCAATTAACATTGAGAAGCATAACATAAAACTATATAACACTGAAAAAAAGCATCAGCACTTAGTTTTTAGTTCAGAGTTGACTTCGGATTATTGATAGTATTGGGAGCTTTCCTCTTTGGATGATCTTTGCATTGTGTTGTGTTTAACGTTGCTAATAGTTTGAAGGGGTAACTACTGATTGTGCTCTGTTATACTGAGAAGAGCTGTATTTTTATGGAAAGTTCTAGAACTGTAAGGGCTCGTTTTATTAAACTCTTTTGGGAAAATAAATTTTGACAAGCTATCATTTGTTCTATCTGCATTCAATCCATTACAAACCCATCCGCAAGCAGCAATATTAAGTTTTAATCTGGTCTTCTAATTTTCTCCCCAATTTTATTGATTAACTTAATTTTACTGTGCAGGATTGTTTGCATACATAGAAATCTGTAAAATATGCCTTACCCAGTTTATAACTAAATTGTTTAAGAAAATAATTTTCCAGTATTTTATATATTTTCAAACACCTTTATAGTTTAAACACTGATTATTATTAACAGATACATGTAGAAGCTAGGCCAGCATTGTAGCACCACAGGTAATTGGAATGCCCCCATGCCCCAAAGACAATATACGCGTACAACATTCATACCTTCTCCGGGATTACAACCCGGGCCCATCGGTTCAGCAGTTAGTGTTACTAACCACTATATGAACTGGGCGAAGTTGTGATTAAAATTTTGTGCATATATCTATGTTAGAAAACAGATAAGCTTTAATGCGAGAAACTTTAGCAATATATCGAGTAAACTTTTGTACATTACCTGGACATGTCTTGGATAGGTAGATGTAAAGTGCAATCACCACGACATCGGTGACGAGAGCAGTTATCCAGTTCATAACAAACATAATAACAAAGCATAGCAAAGCCCCTAAAAGGCTCAGCCATAGATTATAATACTGGAAACCTGGTCGAAATCCTAAAAAAAATAAAATGCTATATTTGCCTCTTCATACAAGTAAATTATTTACATAAAGGAAGATATTTTTTTGTTATGTCTGTTTTGGAAAATATTTTGCGTCATCTTTAAAGTATTAAGTTTCTTAAAATGCTAAAATTTGAATCCAGCGCCAGGCTAATCTGAATTGATGGTTATTTTCTTGAAATGATCAGAATTTTGGAGTGGTTTTCATAGGTTTCTTAGTTACTATTTAAAAGCTTTAAATGAAAATTTTTATTTCTAAAAGTGAATTTTCTTTAATATTAAAGTTTTCTACATAACAATATAGTTAAAATTCTGTTTTATACATGTGAAATTTTATATCTGAAATTTCGTCTGTACCATAATTGATACAAATAAGAATAAGATGTGAATTTTATTACAAAACAGAACTTGGAAAATGAAAGTAACTTACATTTTATTTTAAAATTTTTAATACGGTAGCAAAATTTTAGATTGTTTCAAAATTAAATTCATTTCCTTTTGCCCTTGTTCCTTAATAATGTAATCCGAATTATAAAAATATAAATGATTTAAAAATCAATACAATAGTCCTTCAGGGACAAAGCCCCTTTGGACTAAAAAAAAATCTGAAAGGTTTCAGATTTTAATAACGTCCAAAGGGGCGTTTTTTTTATCATTTTGTGTGTTACCTTTATTTATTAAATATCACGTTCTTCGCACATAAACTATAAAATTCAGTTCAACACGAATGTTACAAAATAGTTTTAAAATGAGCATATCTTTAGAATTTCCGCTGGAGAAAAAAATGTGTTTTCTGTACAACGTTGCCATTGGTCGCTTTGAAATCCTTGAGTTTGTTAATCAAAAATTCGCTACAATTTTATAAAATCTGAAATCGATAATAAAACAAATTCCAAATTTCAAATTTGAGCTTCCACATGCCCATATTTGCAGGAGGATTACGTCATTCAAAATTCGATGTCTCTATGTACCGTTGTTTCATCACAATGAGAGAAATATACATACATTTATACAGATTTTTCATAATTTAGTTTCTTCAAATATAATGCAGGACTCTAAAATTTGGTGGCAACAGTTTGAAAAGTGAAACGGACATTTATAGTGAACCAACGCAAAATCGCAAAACGAAAACAATAGTCCTTCAGGGACAAAGCCCCTTTGAACTTAAAATAATTTCCTGTTTAATGTTCCAAAGTTTTCACTTAAAATACATTTTTAAATTTCAGTTAAAATGATTACTTTTCATATTTTTAGGGATGTGCATGCTATGAAACGAGGTTCTTAACTGGCACGATTTAATAAGAACAAAATAGGCAGTTACCTGGAGATTTGACATAAGATGCATGAAAGCATGAAAAATTAATGAGACCGTTAGCTGCCATGAAGAAATTAGAAATAATCGGGGCTACAGCATTCAGATCCCCTAAAAAAGATATGAGCATGTAAAAAACATTAAAACTAGCTAAGATAAAAATTATAAATTAGAAAAATTCATTGACTTCTTAAAGCATTAGAAAACAGGGATACGTTTTTAAATCTGTAATTTTAAGTGAAAATCTATAGTTTTATTTCACGACGTATTGGAGTATATAGAAACGTCCTGCTATTATTAAAGATCCAACTATAACTATGCATATGTGATTAACACCTTTTATTATATCTAAAAATGAATTTCTGTCTATTACATGCTGTTAGGTAGTTCTAAATCTGCAGCATGTAGATCACACTTAAGTATGCTATAAATTTTCATTACTGTATTGGAAGTTGCTTGTGACAATGTAGTAGCGATGAGAAGGGTATAGTTGTAACCTCCCATAAAGACTGCTATACACAGTGTATCTGAAATGCTTGAAAAAACTTAGAGGGATAATAGTACTCATCAAAATGAACAAAAAAAAAAAAAAAAAAGCACTGGAACCTGGGGTCCCAAATAAAGTTTAAAGGGTGAAAATCGCAAAAAAATGGTAATCTCGCATGCTACTTTTCTGCAGAACTGGCTAGTAGTACGAAGCTGGTTTTCTTTTCACTTTGTGCATATCCGGTGAAAAAGAGATAACAAAAACTGGTAGAAAGCCAAACAAATCTGTGAGCAGGAATCCACGTATGCAAATTTTCTATATTTTTAGAAATAAACCAATAAACTCAAGCATACGTTGTAAGTGCATGAACCGCCAACGACGATAGGTAGTATCATTGCGACGTGGGTAACCACCTTGATGGAGTTTACCCGGCAAGATGGATTGGACACGGTGACCCTGTTGCTTGGACTTCACGCTCTCCGGACCTGAACCCCTTGGATTTCTTTTTCTGGGGACAGATGAAATCCCTCATATATGAGACGCCAGTAGAAACGACAGAAGTAGTAGCACCGCGTATTGTGACCGCTGGCAGCAGAAATCCAGGAAATTCCCGTAATCTTCGAGCATGTCCGCCAGTCGTTCCTCCGTCGATGTGTGATAATGTCCGCAGTCGACACTTTGAACAATTGTTGTAAAATTTTTGTTTTCTCTGGGCATCACGAGTTGTGTTGTATCTATTCTGTGCAATAAATATTTTTCTGGAGTGTTTTTCTCTTTGCTCAGTATGTCCATCTCCTGACGCATTTTCTCGATTTTCACCTTTAACCCCCCCCCCCCCCCCATGTTCCGTTGCATTTTGTTTTCGTCTTGATGAGTACCATCATCCCTTAAGTTTGTTAAAGCATTTCAGATACAAACTGTATATTAAAATTTCAAACAGATCGTTTCTAATAAAACAAAATTTTTATTTTTATTTAAATGAAATATATTTTCGTTTTTGCAATGCATGGATTTGTCTTCATAAAACTATCTAAGCTTTGTAATAATACGGAACAGAAAAAAATGCAACGCGAAAAAAAATAATATTAAACTACTAAAATTTCCCCTCGCAAACCACTTTTTCTGTTGTTCCACGTGTAGTAAACAAAAGTTCGCCATATTTTCTTTAAACTAATGCGACAACATTTCTTTCAAATTTACTTAATGCCGTATGCGTTATTTCTCGCGCGATCAGTTCATTTTAATTTATTAATTGCGCTGAATTCATGAGATAAATTCGTACGTTTTTCAAAGGACAATTAGTGATTAAAAAGGCAAGAGAAACTTTTTTTTTTTTACAAAAGTTCCAAGCGAGGTAGAATTCCAGACAGAAGTTTCAAGAAAGCATACCCAGAGAAATACGGAAACTCAGATATTTTCCTCTTCGAAAAATCAACTCCTATAACTACATCAAGATCTTTGAGAATCAAACATTTGGAGGAAAACAACATTCTTTTTGAAGAGCCTAGCGTTGGTTATATGCTACTGATAATTTAAGGGGAGGGATTACAGATGAAGCATTTCTACCTCAAGGGAAATGTAATTTAAGATTTCAGGACAAATGGCTGCGCCATTAGAAGTGGCTGGCTTACAGCCTCTCCTCAAATGGAGCATTTTATAAAGTTTACGTTATATTTGCACCTGATGGAGCTGGTACTGGGAGTCAGAAATAAAAAATAAAACTTGTGAAACATTCTTTAAGTAATTATAAAGATGCTGTTGAAACATTCAATGACCATGAGGCTCCATTGTGTCACAAAAAGTCTGTACTACAGGAAGAATATTTATTGAATGCTGGCAGAGGAAAGTTTGAACCAATACATCTTCAGTAGCACTGTGATTTTATATGGCAGACAGGAATTATATTTTCGCGGCCATAGAGATAGGGGACCACTGAATCAGAATCAGAATCCGATGAAATCAACTGAATCAGAATCCGATGAAACTGTGGTGTGGTAACCGTGTAAGTGACCAAGTAGTGACGAAGATTAAAACCTCCCAGTGTTTTTCCGTTTTAGCTGAAGAGACAGCAAAAATTGCAAATGTAAAGCAGCTTTCAAGCTATGCCAGGTATTTTGACGAAACTGAACATCGCATTCATTAACATGCTTTTGGTATTCTTACCCTGTTCATGACTGCACAGGAGGAAATACAGCTAGTCGTATTCTCTGCACAGGAGGAAGTACAGCTAGTCGTATTATAGACTGCCTGAAAAGTACGGGAATAAGCTTGAATTATCTAAGAGAAAAAGGATATGATGGGGCAAGAAATATGGAGAGGTTCCTATAAAGGCGTACAGACCTGTATTTCTGAACAGTATTCACTTGCATTATATGCCCACATATTGCCTACAGTTTAAATCTCGCTGTTTTTGAGAAAGTAATTCAGATTTTTTCTGACAAAATGACTGCAGTGTATAATTTTCTTAATACACCTAAAAGACAAGGCTCTCTGACAGCAAATAACAAATAAAACTTTGCCTGATTCAAATAAAAAATGTTTGAAGCAGATAAATAGTACTCGTTGGGTAGAAAGGGAGGATGTGCTTTTTGGATATTTTTAATACCAGTGGTAGAAACTTCGGATAATATAGCTCAATGGGAAGAAAAGATAAAATGCTATTATGGCTAGTCATCTGAGATGCGCCATTCTAAAATCCGAGTTTATTGTAGCTTTAGATGTTCTGATGAAGGTATTTTCAGTCAACCTCCCCTTCAGTAAACTTTTTCGGAAAGAAGATACAGATTTAGTCTCAGCAATACAATTTACTGGACAAGTTGTGGCTGTGCTGAAGGATAAGAGAAGTTATGATGTGGAGACATTCAAACATGTGCTTGTAGCAGCGCAAAAGCTCAGTGGTGATCTGGCTCTTGAAATCACTATACCAAGAACAGCCAAAAGACAGAGTCGGAGATGTAACGTAAAGACCACTAATATGGAAAAATGCTTTCAAATTGCTGTTTGTTCGCCATTCCGTTACTATTTTGTAAATGAAATTAATGAAAGCTGTTGGAACACAGTTTGCTATTTGATTTACACTATGAAAAAAAGAAAGGGGGGGGACAGTTCTATATCTCTCGTTATACTGGGCAGATTGAAGAAATTCAACTTGCGTTTTTCATACCTCGAAAGCGCGACTTAGGATATATATTAGATGTATGTATAGCATTGTTCTAATTTAGGTATTTTGACACAAAACAGGCCTTTTTCTAAACTGACATGCCAATTTTTTCATATTTCGATTCTACGACTCAAATCATGCCTAAATATTAAATTTTGTAAAAGTTGGGGAGGAGTTTACGGAGAAATTCAAAAATTTATCTTGGCGCATTTTTTTCAGTTTGCGCCACTTGGTGAACTTCTTAATTTATAGCAGCTTTCTTTCCTTTCCTTTTTTTCATTGTAAACGAGCTGAAAAAAGTCATCGTTCCTTATTTCAAATAATTTTAACATAGTGTGTAACTACGTTTGGAGTTATTATCGCTTATAACAAATATGCCACATTTTAAAACGCGCCAGTATGTAAATTCACGTATATCCTAGGAAATTTTGAATAAAAAACTCTAATATTTTGTTGGTACGCTTAGAAATTCATTTATTTTAAGATGATGGTAACAATTTTATAGTTTATAATTCACAATTATTTTCAAAAAATTCATAAAAATTAATAAAAATTACAAATTTGAACAATAAATCAGAAAATACTACGAAATTTATTAGGATTGAACCCAAATTTCGAATTCTGGAACAAAGAATCAAGTAAGTTTAATAGAAAAAGAGGTATTAATAAATATGTATCAAATTCAATTAACATTGAGGAGCTAAAAATTTCAAAGCTAAATTTTTTTCGCAGATGTTAGACGTAAGGGATAATATCTCCTAACCTCTTGGTTTCTGCATCACCTGTCAAACTATCATTAAATTAACTAGTAGTGTGTTGAAACCATTCTTTTCAAACATTTCTGCAATGTATTTTGAAATGACAGGATAAAAATTAGAAGGAAAAAGTTCCTGTCAGAAAAATTATGTACCATAAAAATTCTAATTTTCGAAATTAGTTTAAAATAAGTTACTTGCATGCCAAAATATAGAAGCGAACTTTTTTATTATGTTTAAGGCAGATAGTCCTGATGAGTTTTGGCACAATCTAATGAAATTTACTATCTGCTGTTTTGTTATGTTGATGCTCATATGCATCATTCATTAACCACTGAAATGTCATGCAATTACTTTCAGTTAATGTAATTCTAGATTAATTAGGGCAATTCTTTAACCTGATACAGACAAACTAATTTTGGCAGAAGAAATGAAGCTTTTTTTTTAAAAATCTTAAACAGCACGCTATTTAATTGAACCAGAAAAATGGCTCAAACAGCATTGGATATTTTCACTGCGTGGAAAAATTATATCATTGAGAGGGGGTTTTAAAAAATAGTTGAATTTTAACAACATTTTACACACTTTTAAGCTTTTTTATTAGATTAACTTTTAAGTTGCTGCACCGAAGGCAATTTACGAAAATGTGGAGTTAAAAACAAATACATTATCAGCATGTTCCTAATGTAAATTGAACTTTTTCAGAAAATAATTTTTTTAACCACATTTTGAAATTTCTTTCTGTGGATTTATACTATGAAAAATTAAAAAAGACTTTAATGAGATATAATACATGCTCACCGATTAATGTAAAGACCACAGCTATTACGAAAGTCAAAGCCAAAGATCGCCTAGGATCATTGTCAGCACCATAACCTTTACCTAACCACGTCAATGATGGAATGAGGCCGTCTAAACATAAAGCCTGCATCATAAATCAAAATAAAAATGACTAAAAGACTTGAAGAAAAGCGTTTAAAGCATCAGTATTACAATGATAAGGAAACTATTAAAAAAGCTAGAGTAATTACCTGAAGAATTCTTGGCGCACTGACAATGGATACAAGTGCCGATGAGAGAGTGGCGGCGAAAATACCTGCGTAAATCAAAGGAGGAAAGGCGGAAGCGAGCTTCATAACCTAAATTTTAAAATATTTCAATAATACAATATTCTAATTTAAAATTTACTAATTAAAATTAAGATTAGAGTTATTATCATATTAATTGCAATCACATAACTAGAACTATTCACAGAGAGTTAGAATGGCAGAGATGACAAAGATGCTAGATAAAGTTCGTATTAATATCAGTTACGTAAAATATAAATTATCATGGGAATTAATTACTACCTAAATTAAATTTTAACTAATTTGATAGATCAGGTAGAATGTCCAGATAATTTGACTATTACACATTAACTCGTGTCAATCGACTGCTTCGTAATTAATCATTTAAGCAATTAGTAATGAAAACATTCTTATTAAGAAAACTGGATTACTTTCATTCTACAGTTGTTGCATTCTTCTTAATTCGTTTAGCATGGAAAATAAGGTCGCATATGGATAAAATATTCCGAATTTTTTTGACATTATATTCTAAGGATATATAATTTTAACAAATTATTTAGGATTTAGGTTAAAATAACACGCCGAACAACGATATTTTAGAAGTCAAACGATCAGCGTTATATTTGCAAATTTTGTTGTTTGATTTCTAAAATACTTAGGACATGGACAGAGATTTGTGAATTTTCTTGAACCTCTCTGAGCTATATATATATATATATATATATATATATATAAATATTTAAAAAATTAAAATGCTGATTGATGAATTTTTACTGGTTCCTTATTGGATATTTTATTTGGCCTATTACTAGAACTCAAACGCATTAACGAAACTTCTTTATATGAACTTTATTCAACGGAGAAAACGCATTTCCAACATTTTTGTGCATCATTATGCGGACTTTACCCTACATTCTGTTAGAATAATAACTTCTCCCACCACGCAGTTTGCCAGCATCACAAATTTTAATCGTAATCGCGGAACTGCACGTGTGGTATATACTCGTAAGCTACCGGTCAGAATGGTTTCTTCCCTTCTTGTAGTCGTATTTTTTCATAAAAAGAAGCAAAACTAAAGGTTGCGATTTTTTAGATGAAAATGCTCAGGGTTAAAATTCATCTGCCACTATACCTTTCTAAAACATCTCAAGCAGGTTATCTATAGGTGTTCGACTTCAGAATGTGCATTACTAGCGATGTATGACCACGTACGTGATTACATTTCAAGTGTGTTAAAGAATGTGAAAAAAAAAAAAAGATCTTGCACCTGTACAAAAATATTATGGGCACTGCACGAAATTAATGTGAGAAAATTGCGACTGCATATATGTTCGATCAGACAGGATTGTAATTTATCTCCGAATAGTCACGTTTCGGCATTAGCCTACTATTCCATTTTAATTCGTCACGTTTGGTGTTCTAAGTTATGATATTTTATATGAGTGTGAGAAATGTTCCATATTTAATCCAGAAAATGTGTTTGATAAAATAAATGTGAGATTAGAAAAAGAAATTTGTCTCCGCAAGTCTCATGAGTGTGGGTTATTGGGTAAGTCAAATATTTATTTATTCTTGCCACTAGGGTTTAATTTGCAATGCACTACCACTAAGAATTCAGGCAAGTAAATATTGGGCATCCACTATGTAATTTAATTAAGGATTTCTAGATTGATATTTGGTTAGATTGTCACATTACAACGCCTCCTAGTAGTGCACACCACTACACATTCATACAAACAATTAAAGGAAACTTGCAGATTTAATCAGTTCTGCCATTTAAAAGTGTAATAAAGGGGGGAAAGTTAGCATTATATGTTAAGTGGGAGACTTTCTAAGGAATATATTTCTAAGGAATATGGAAAGTGACATCTACTAAGGTTTCCTGTGACGGGATAAGGGCTAAAAACGGTTTTGAAACACTGGTCGTAGATGTCATGCAATAACGGTTAGCACGGCATGTTTAGAGATCCTTATTCCCCTGTAGGCACAGCCATTTTCTTATCGAATTACTGGAGGAGGTTAAAAATTAAGTCGCCTTTGTTAGGATTGCCGCTAACACCACAGCAGCATCGTGAATTCTTGCAGTATATCTCGCCACAATTACTGAAGTGATGGATGGCAAACTATGGTATTCTGATTTCGTTTTTCATCTCAATTCACTGATCTCTCCCCAATCAAACTTCTATGAGATGTGACAAGTTATTGTGATTTGATGTGACAATATTCTTTTTGCAATGATAATGAACTTCGATGAGTATCATATGGTCTGCATTGTCTTAGGACATATTTCGAGTCCTTACTGTGCCAGCCTCAGTTTTGGCCGAGTTTTGTCTCATTTGAAGCCCTTTTTTCATGCTGTCAAATTTTGTTCTGTTGAACAGTGTATTTAAGACAGACTATGAAAGCTATTTAAATAATTTTTTTTCCATGATTAACTTTAATTTTTGCTTGAAGTAAATTAATTTCTTTTTATTATTCCATTACTACTACTAACCTGATAATCATTTTGCAATCCGTATTCACAGGGTGTCAGAGTGCAATTCTGTAAAGTTTCATTGATGTAGTCTTGGATATCCCCAGTTGCATCCCGAACAGTTGTGAAACCCAGCCAAATAATAAGAAGAACATAACTCAGTGAAGTTGTCAAAATCGATAAAAGAGTTCCTTTAGGAATAGCACTACAAGGATCCTGAAAAAAATGCTTATATTCACACATTGAAGTGTATGTGAATACTATAATGAAACATAAGAGGTTCTACTATATCTGCATTATTATTTAAAAAGCATTCTATTTTTTTTCTATAAAATAGTCCATGAATTTGCATATTTTGACTATTCAAATGGATTAAGTACTATAAATGTATACATATATCATAGCGATTATGCTGTTTAATTTATATATTATTATTATTAGATATATTGAAACTCACTTTGAGGTCTCCTGAAATATTTGCACCGGCCAGTATACCAGTCACAGAAGGGAAGAAAACTGCAAAAACGCTGAAAAAATTTTCATTTCGAAAATCGGGTCCCATGTTTGAAACTGCGACATCCACTATGAATATTTAATAAATACCAGTTTATCCCAAATTTCACGTTATATAAACAATTAAAAAGTTTTAGAGTTATACATTTCTAAAAATCATATGTAAGACATTTTATGCACAAGAAGGAACGTGCCTATGTATCTCTCTTTATATATATCTATACCTTCATAAGATTGTTTTATCAGGAAACTGAAAAGAGAAATTTGTTACATATATCTTACCATTCCATCCCCAAAATCCTTCGGCTTTCTGTTCCAAAGTGGGTGGAAAACATGCTCCAACAAAATAATCCATCATAGCAACTAGCAGAATTACTAGTAAGAGCATCTGCGTCTGGAAATAAAAAAAGCGTTATTCAATAATATGAATAATATGTAGATTTATTGTAGAGGGAATCAACTTTTCAACAATCAAAATGTTGTATAGATAAATATCATTTTATAATTCATTCATTACCCTGCGTCATGTTTAGTATTTTATACGACGTTCTAGTTCAGTGAAGCTAAGTCAACTTGTAAGGATCTAAAGTTTTACTAACGTTTATTTTATTTTAAATCTTTACTATCACTTCTTATTTTCTACTTCCGGCCAGAATTATAAGCGTTAAGGTTTTTATGCAAAGTTTGTCTGGCGAACGCCAAGTATTTAAGTTGTGGCCTTTTGCCAAGCGAGAGAGAGGAAGCAGTGAGTTCGAAGCAGGCCGCTTACCTTAGAAGTTACGCAGTTGCTGTTTGCCTTCCAGGCCAGAGGTTTTAATCCTCTTGATAAATTTAAACGTATTGTAGTGTTCACAGTCTCTGTACTACATACACTTCCTGTTAATATAAGGCCAATCTTCCCCGTTTATTAGTTTAAAGTTAAATTAGAGTTTAGTTTTATTTTTATACTTTTACGTTAGACCCCAAGTGGCGGGTCAGTGTATTCCGAAGTACGGAAGTTATTGTATATAGAGAAAAATAAAGGGTTTCTATACCCTTCGTCTGTATCCTGTCTACTTACCACAATTAGTGAACATAGCTTTAGTAAGCTCTCTGTTCCGAGTCAGGTCCTTGTATGTTCCCGAAGAAGGTAAGAAGGAACATTGACCCTGATAAACTTTTAGTAAACGCTTCACTGATGCATGTTATCTCATTATGTATATTGGGATAATTGTCAGATAACGCTTTCTTTGAAAGGGTTCCAATAATTTAGTAGAATGAATACGAAAGCGTCTTAAGTATTCATCTTGCGTTGAATGTACAGCTGTCGTAGTTTAACCACTTTCAGTATTAGAAAATTAGCTAATCTTTCTCTCATCTTTAAAGTCATGCTTTCATGTGGCCAAACATTTTAGATATTTATTATTGTCATAATATTTTCCACCAGACCAACGATCCTCTGTACACATTGATACCTTAAGACAAAGCACAGTGCAGCTTTAGTGCAATTACGTAACACATCTTTTTTAGGGTATTATTAAGATCAGTTTCATTAAATCCGTATAGGTCTCTTGATACTTGTGTTAACCGGCTCAAAATATTTCAACAGATTTCTTGAAATAAAATGCTGAAGCTTGTGTAGCTTGTGTATTTGTATAAATTGTGTAGGAATTTATGAAACGAATTGGACAAAATTTAAAATATCCCGCAACACGTGGAGAAATTAGAAACAAAAGATCGAAGCGATTTGATATCGTGAAATCAAAGAAACAAAAATGATTTATTTCCAACACTCTTTTTGAGTCGTGAAGAATTCAGAAAGATATAAAAATACTAAGGCTTACACAGGGAATCAGGTACAGATGCGTATTTTCGATCAATTGATTACCAACAGTACCAGTAAACCACATTTGCGTTGTACTCTTACGATTAAATAGCTATAATGACACCAGAGAAGTGTTCCAGAAGTAAAAGTGATGTCAGTAACTTTGATGATGGAATTGCAGAAGTATCTAGTGTGCAGTCCCAACAAGATATCAATATGAGACATTCTAGAGTAGCAGTGTTCAGTCTTTTTGATAAGTAAAAACCTTTTCAATGTCCCCTTGTATTCTGAGCCCTTCGTCTGGCTTCAGTTTTGTAAGAGTTTAGTAAGAGTTTCATGCAACATTCTGTAAATAAATTATTTGCAACAAAAAGGACAATTATTTCAAACAATATTTATTTGCTACAAAACGTAATTTGAAAATTAACCCAAAATTTATTAAAATAACAAAGAGTAACGCATTCAGAGAGAAAAAACTTTTGTCCAAAACTTTTACTGAGAGGAATGATGCTGCTTTTTGTTATCCCAGATGTACTTAACATTAGCTTTATGGTTTGCGAAAATCTGGCCAAACATTCCGAAGATTTATCCATCAAGTACTTTATGGCTTGGACTTTTGTATTCACTTTGACGGTTTGCTTGTGGCCTTCATCAAATAAAGACGAGCACAGGAGCCACCGTGAGATTGAGAAAACACGGGTTAAATCTGAATCCTTCTAAATATATTCTGTGAAAATGTTCGGTATTATTTCTTGGGTGTTTAATGACCTCTTCAGGTGTTCGACTTTTCCTGAAATGCAATAATTTTTAACTTCCCTAAATCAGTAATAATGTCTAAAATAAAGAGGGATTTTGGCAATGTTGAATTTTTACCGACGATTTTTGCCTAAGGCAGTTACTACCCAAGCTTCGCTTCATTCTCTTTTAAAAGATAATGAGAGAATGAAAAACATTCCGTTCCTTGAACAGTGGATACAAATGCGGACTTTGAAAATTGTAAAGCTGATCTAAAAAATTCAGTGACATTTCGTCACCATGTTCCAGGCCAGCAGTTGTCGCTGATAGCCGATGCTTCAGATGTGGCTGTTGGAGCAATGTATCACTCGCGACAAGATAATATTCTTTAACCACTGGCTTTTTTCTCCGGAAAATTGGCTCCTTGCTGAAATTATGAACAGCATATATGATAGAGAATTACATGCTTTCTACAGCGCTGTAAGGCATTTTTAGTATAATTTCGAGGGACATATTTTTACAATATTTACGGATCATCACTCTCTAATATTTTTGTTCAGAGAAAAATCAGATTTTGCATCACTCAGAGAAATTAAACATATTAATTACGCTACCCAATTCAGTACCGGCAAACAATATCTTCCTGAAACAGAAAACATTGTGATACATTGTCACGAGTTACTGCTTTTAATAAGCTGGGTGTAACAAGTTTTGCACAGATTGCTGAATTTCAACTTGATTATCCCGAAATGAATCCTCTGTTGTCCACTGAAAGTTGCTCATTAAAATTACAAAAGATGGAATTGTCTCTTAGGCTAAATATATATTGTCATGTAGGTGGGAACACGATACGTCCCTTTGTTCCCAGTCAACTCCAGAGAGCAGTATTTGATTCACTCCATAGACTTTCTCATCCATGTATACGATCCACCAAAAAACTGTTTCTTTTTATTTGGCCTTCTGTGTCAAAGGATTGCGTTGCCTGGACTTGTGCTTGTATCGACTACTAGAAGTCTAAAGTTCCACTTCGTACACATAGTCCATTTCACTATTTTTCCGATGGCTGGAAGTGAAATATATTTCGGCTGAAACAGTCGCTCGAATGTTTTTCACTCATTAGATTGCTAGGTTTGGAGTTCCCATCACCTTAAGTACCGATCAGGGCCTACAGTGTGAGTCCGATTTAACATTCAGAGCGATTTCCGAAGAAGAATGATATGGCGGGAGCCAGGGACACGCTGTCGGATGCCATACATTGTTGATAGAATCAATTATAGAGGATTACTGGACTGGGATAGAAGCAGACGGCCGCATCGTCCTCTAAATGATTACTCGTGCTTTCCGATATCGTGATGAAATTCTACATTCTCTTGTGCGTCCTTTTATCGCTGCAATGGGTACCGACGAGATATTTATGGACGATAACTCTAGAGCTAGAGTGGTATGGAGTTATCACTATCACAATCACAATTTTCCGGAGAGTGAAGCCATTCCATATCTGCCACGCCTTACCTGATCACATACAACATGTATGGGACATGTTGGGAGGAAGGATAGCAGATCGCCGTGTGTCGCCAGGCAACCCTCCCCCCATGAGCCTCGGTATTACTACAGGAATGGACGCTACTGCCACAACAAGCAATCAACGACTATTGCCAGGCTGCCCTCGCCGTTGTCAAGCTTGCATTCCAGCTAGAGAGTATCGTACCGTTATTAGTGTGACGTTACCAATGCACATACCGCATCTGGTCGACCGATGCAGTAGTCATAATACATGTGTTTTTATATGCCGTTACGTAGCCGTGTGGTCTAGTAATGCCACACCAACCTTTTGGAACAATTTCACGCATGTCCTTTTAAGGGGGCTGATACACCTTAAACCCTTTATGATCTTCGAATATGTGACTGTTGCAAGAATTGGAATATTTTATTTATTTTAAAAGAATTACTTCGAACTTTATGCAACTGACTACATAATATACCTGCTTCGGAAACTAGTAACCAGAAAGTTTGTGTTGCCACAAATATTTTTGTAATTTAATTCGCTTTGTGACAAAATTTTTCGTCATGTTCCCACCTTGCTCGCATGATATTTTAAAAATGGCTAATGGTACATACTTAAAATTTGATGGAATTCTTTATATGGGCACTATTTTTTAACTGAACCAAAAATCTGATGAATATTTTAATATTAAAAAATTTTATGCACGAAAACATTACAGATTTTTTTAACAAAATATATTTTTTAAACTCGACTCCAAATAAAATAGAAATTTAACATGAAATTATTAGAGTTTTTGGTTCACAGTAGTTTCCAAATGTTATGAAAGCTATATATTAAATATGGAATTAAATTATGCTACAGAATGTTTTAAACTGTGCCTGCAAGGTCAAACGTGACGAAAGATTTTGACACAAAGCGGATGAAATTATAAAAATATTTGTGGCAACTCAAACTTTCTGATTATTATTTCAGAAAGCAGCTATATTGTGTAGTCAGCTGTAAAAAGTTGAAAGTAATTGCTTTTAAAATAAATAAGTTATCCCAATTCTTGCAACAGTCACATATCCGAAGATCTTGATGGGTTTTAAGGTGTACGAGTTCCTTTAAATAGTTTTTGTTTTATTCCATGTTTTACCTTTGTTGTTTATTTTTTTAGCAGGAATGCATTATATAGTTCTATTTTATTTGTAGATTTTCGTAGCTGTATTGTAAACTGAAATAAATTAGTTGAGATCGAATGTTGAAAATACTGGTATCTTTAAAAAATGTTGTCCGAATAAACAATTATAACACAACTTTAAATCTTCAGCTCATCTATCTTCATTTTATTTTTTAACAACAAGAACAATGGTAACGCTTTGCGACTGAGCAGATAATCTCACAGACGATGTGCTAGCTCGTATCTCAGTACAAATACGAAAATTTTAAACAGTATCTAATGTGTAGTGCTTGAAATTTATATTTTTCTTACTTTGAGAGCTGTGTAGGCTAAATGAGAAGAAACTAGAATTTCTCTTTAATATTAACTAAATAAGAAAAAACTTTTCTTTCCGTATTTTTCTGTCTTTAAAAAGAATACGAAAATTTACTTGCTTTATTCTCAAAGGCCATGCCTATTCCAGTGATAGACATCATGAGAAGCAAACAGATAACACTGGTCAGGCGAATATCATTTATGCCGCTTGGATATTCTACAAGTCCTGTGTGAAATTCCTACAAAAATTGAGAAAATGATATTATTATTAAAATAGAAAATTTTACAAATTAATAAGCAATTTTATTAGGGATCATAATAATTATTAAAAATAAATTTTGCAAAATTGTATGCATAAACGAATGAATGTCCTACAAATTATGTTCAATCAATTTTTATTTGAAAAACTAAAAACATGGTATATTCACTAAACTCTAACGAAGTTTACTAGGTAGCATTTGGTTCTTTTTCGTAAACAAGAGATGGATACGTTTAACCAGGATTTTAATTTAAAAGATAAAAAATTGATTTTTTACACTAAATATTGTGGCCATCGAATGATTTTTGAACAGCTAATTACTATAATGTTCACATTTGTCATAAATAAAAATAAATATTAAATAATAAGCAATCTTTTTAAATTTTTTAAATTTCAAAAATTTATTATAAATTTTAATTAAAAGAATTTCTTAGGAAACGTTTGCTGAACAGGTAGTGAACCCATGAAATCTACTTACTATCTGGATGTGCTGACTACTGCATTACAAGGGACTGCATTATTGGGGAAATCCCAAAAATTCCTTGGAGTGCTGATTTTTTATGAACAGGTTTTACCCTTAAGAGGGATTTAGATGGAAAAATTTTAAACTTTGATGGTTAGGCATAAAATCATATTTTTGAGTTCACAATATTGCAGAAATTTTATGCTTTCATCCATCTTAAATATAGTACTTTACCATCGTGAAAGGAATATTATGCTATTTTTTGTACGTTATATACGGGTTTTGAGGATCGCAGTAAGCAAAACAAGAACCACCGAACCAGTGGACGCCCTCGAAAAATCTGAAAGTTTTCAGATTTTAAATTACGCCCAAAGGGCCGTTTTTTTAGCGTTTTGTGTGTTACCTTTTTTTATTAAATATCACGTTCTTCGCACTTAAACCATAAAATTCAGTTCAACAGCAATATCGCAAAATAATTTTAAAATGCGCATATCTTTAGAATTTCGGATACACAGTCTCGCGCGGCGGATATAAAAATGATTTTCCTGCACAACGTTGCCATTGCTTGCTATGAAATCCTTTAGTTTTTTAATCAAAAATTCGTTAAAGGTTTACAAAATATGAAATCGATAATAAAACAATTTCCAAAATTTCAAGTTTGGGCTTCCAGATGCCCATATTCGCAGGAGGATTACGTTATTCAAAATTTGATGGCTCTAGGTACCGATGTTTTATCCCGATGCGAGAAACATATATACATTTATGCAGATCCTTCATTATTTAATTTCTTTAAATATAATACAGGGCATTAATATCTGGTGGCAACAATTTGAAAAGTGAAACAACGCTTGTACTGAATCAACGCAAAATGCCAAAAATTAATAGTCTTTATGGGCAAATTACTCCTTTGGACTAAAAAACTGATTGTGATATGAAAACATTTCTCCATGCGCTGTTTCTAGTACACTACTATGTTGAAATTTTTTTTTCTCTAAGAAGTTGAGGTTCGCGAACTTGAATTTTTGAAACTGGAAATCTTCCAAAATCCACAATTTTATTTCTACAGCAAATAGACTCTTAAATTATCCCAGATACATACTTTACTTCCGAATTTAAATCTTGAGAGATGGTAGGTAAGTTTTTAACACCCCTTCTTCTTTACTCCAAGCGCTTATTAACATAAAATTTTGTCTACATTTTGCTCCAAAGGGCTGTTAATAGGAGGAGGTTCCCTATACCATTCCATCAGAACAACGTTCAGTTTTAAAATTGTATTTAATAAAGGAAAATAAAATTATCGTCGAACTTTATACTCCTAAGTTCACTATCTGAGCTAGCCTGGTTCATGCCAACAAGTTTTTACTATACAGAACATATATTGATAATAATGCAAAATAAATTAAAACAATACGTTTAAAATAACTCCCATATTCAATTCGGAAGAAAAATATATCAGAAGCACATTGTCAAACTTCATGAAAGACGCATAAAATGTCAAAACCAAAAATAAAAAAGAAAATTTACTACTGCATCATCCATGGGTTGATGCAACGAAAGAAGCAGATGCGTCAGCCTATTTCTGTATAACAATTAAACAAAAATTTTAACTTCTGATTATTACATTATCCACAGTAAGAGAGCAGAAAATGTCACGTAATGCTAGTATGTGTTTTGGATTTAGATGAACAAGTTAGCTGCATGAGATTTTATAGTTCTCTTAACATGTAGAATATGCACGAGTTAGATTTACGGCACAAAGAGACAACCTTTGATAAAAATCTTCAAATTAGTAATTAGCCATTCAACTAATGAATCTGAAAATACTCAGGGATTAAAATATGATTGAGTTTTCGTTTTCTTTCATTTATTGGATGAACCACATTTTGTGATTTTTAGCTAATAAACACAGCTGACAAAAGTTTAAAATTGTACCAACTCTCGGGTACATCATCAAGATGTAAATCGATAACATGACCCTTTTCCTTTTCTTATAAATAATTCAATAATTATATATTCAGTAATTAAATATATATTTAAGGAATTTTTATATATGTACATAATTTTAGTAGAATTATATGTGATAATGTATTATCTTTTATAGTATTATATAACATGAAATGCGAAACATATTTTTCTTCTGATTTCGGAGGAAAACAAACATTTGATGCACTATATAAAATCAGTTTTCCAATAATTGGAGATGAATAAATTTTGACTCACTCTTAAAATGTCTCGTATGGCTTCTCCAGCTCCTATTATATACATAGCTCCAGACACTGCATTGGCAAGAAACAAAAGAATGCCTACAACACCTCCGAATTCCGGCCCTAAACTGCGGGAGATGAGATAATAAGCTCCTCCTGTAAATATACAATTCTTTATTAGTTTCAAAAGTCTTGAATAACATTATCAGTAATATATATATCATTTCAAAGCGCTTTGCTATGCGTAGAAAAAATGCTTGAATAAAGACAAAATCAGTATTGGAAACAGATGCAATTTCAGTTCCAAATACGCACCGTGTCAATAAAAATCATTATACATTCTTTATTTTAACAACCGTTGATGGCAAACATACGTATACTTCAATCACACAGCTGTTTTAAATGACGTAGATTTAATTATGTTTATACATTTTCAAGTTTAAAAATTCAATTTCGTAAAAAACTACAAAATCTAAATTTTTGTAAGTTCCATCGTCTTCTGCAGTTATACTTAGCAAACATTTATATTAATTGTAAAAAATAAAAGGCACTAGGTTTGATTATAATGTGACGAAAAATGATAGACATATTTAATTTCAAAGCCTGGAATTTTTGCCGTCATTTCCGGCTTTCCTTGATATGATGGTTAAAAAATTAATTTGAAGAATTTGAAGCTTTTTGCCATTTTCAGTTTCAGTTTATGATATTTATGTTCATGTCATGATATTCAGTTTTTTTGGGGGGCTTTGCTTATGTTTAATTTTATTTAATTGAACAACGAAACAACTACGAAACGCGGCATGCAAATATGGTTTGGTGAGTTGTATAAATGATTAAAGTTGTAACACTAATCAACAGTGTGGAGGGATACAATACACATCTGGAGTGTGTATAATGGGTGGTATAATGTTAAAGGGGTGTGGGAAATGATGAGCATTTGCAACCGCTCTGACGGCTTGAATACACGCCATTGTAACGAAAGATGTCTTTAAGACGTACTTGACGGCGTTACGAATCGGCGTTAGACATTGATAGAGGTCGTACCATAGGGCTAAAAGAGGCCAGTTGGTCGAACAGACGGATCGGCCGACATATTGATCGAAACGTTGTCCGTTGGTGGAACCAGTGACTTAGCAAGGCAGCCCGACCTACCATGGTGCGAGATGATCAGGCAATTACAAGGGCTGCCATTTCCCACCAGCAGTTATGATATCATCGATTCAATACTATTTGCCAATTAACAGGGATGCCGGGATACGATTTTAAGAAGACTAGGTGACGCTGGGTTCAGTTATTAAGACGTCGATAACTGAGTGCCATTGAGTGTCGTCTTCCATTGTGTCGCTCTCGCTCAAGCTACACAGGATCCGATTAAAGAAATGTGATTTTCAGAGATAAATCACGCTTTTTTCTTAATGCGCATGTGTGCCCTGAGATGGATAGATGAGCGGCACTGACGACATTTTGCAGCCGGTCGTACTGTCTATGTTAGCATGTCATCCAGGTTCTATTTTCCAGCAGACACAGACAGAAAGAAGTACAGGGGGCACAAAAACATCGCCATGGGCAAAACTGGTATCGCCCCACTGCATTAACCATCTATGGAAGTGCACCCTGACCGGGCACACTAACGCCATGCTCGGGCATAACAATGTCTTCAAAGTGTTAATGTTCTCAACTGGTCTTCCCGAACTGTCGTCCATCGAGCATATTTGGGATAGGTTTGGCAAGCAAAATCAGCCGTGTACAAATACGTCCCGATTCGCTGATCAGTTGCTCAATTTGTGGAAGAATCTACCACAGAGGGTCATGTGTGCAACTTAGTAGACTGTATGCCTACCCGGGTATCACCTCCTTATAGCTTCCAGGGGTTGCTTTACCACCTACTGATTTTCACATTCTTTGTATGCTACTCGTAAATAAAACGCCTTTTTTTGGTTCTAGGTTTTGGTTATTTGTTTATCTACTCCAAAACTTTACTACTACCAAGTTGTGGCTTACCTCTTTCTGGGTGCATATATTTTTTGCGGTAAAGTGTATTAACATCAGAAATTTTTTTCTAAATTAAATACGTACAAATGCAAGCATTTAGCTCGTCAGTTTGCGTACCAGCTTTGAACATGATCTCAAATTTAAAAACTAAGTAGCTCTCTCAGCTTTACTGTACGAGAATCAAACGTTTTGCGTTTCTTCAAGAATAAGTACAAACTTTTATTAAATATAACTACAAAGACCGGAAGATCGTATGAAAAGCTAGATTTTATAATTTTTATAAAACTGGTTTTTTAAATTTAAAAAGAACAAAACGTGAATATGTTCCTTACTTAAAATAGTTTTGCAAGTCTACGACTAATGGTTGCGAATATAACGGCCACTTAACGAATTTTTATGGACACACTGTATACTTTGATACCGTAGTAATTATTAGCAAGGAGGGGTTATTTAACTGTACATTACCATATGCATAAAACTAAAGAGCTCAGTAATTGTTTATTTTATAAGTATATATTTCAGACGAAATTCTACAGTTAACCATTAGAGGGTTAAAACAAAATTTTAAGACATACCTCCTCGCACATCGCCGTTGGTACATATAGCCGACATTGATAAGGTTGTAATTATAGTAACCACAGTGGACAGAAAAACAATTACGATGGCGAGAACTGAAAGGAAAATGGTATAGTAAGAACTTGTTTTTTTTCGAAAGTTCAAAACTTTTCTTATGATGTTATTTATTATATAATAGTTTTTTAAAGTATTCATTTATCTATGTATAACAATTAAACAAAAATATTAAAAACCTTCTAAGATTATAGTAAAGACCCACTAAAATATTTTTAGTAGGTTTTTGCAAAATAAGAAATGTATATATATAATGAACAGATACAAAGTAAAAATCAATTCAAAACCTAATACAATTGCGCCCTGAAAGCAGCAATAAGGGGTGATAATAATGCAAAATAAATTAAAACAATACGTTTAAAATAACTCCCATATTCAATTCGGAACAAATCATGCGAAAAATATATCAGAAGCACATTGTCAAACTTCATGAAAGACGCATAAAATGTCAAAACCAAAAATAAAAAAGAAATTTACATCTTTTACTGCATCATCCATGGGTTGATGCAACGAAAGAAGCAGATGCGTCAGCCTACTTCTGAACCAACAAGTACACAGATTAAAAATTATACTACTTAAAATAACTTCAGAAAATTAATAAAAGTATTCTGTATTTTTATCAGTATTAACCCCTACAGTCCCTAGTAAGTAGCGCAAAAATTTGCAAAATTATAGCATCAAAACCGTAAATAAGCTTATAAAAGCTTAAAAATCTAAATCATTGTTTTCGTTTTGAGCAAACAGAGTCTAAAAAACAATACATACACACACACACACATATATATATATAAGTACGCAAGATATAACAAAATACGATAGCTGCTTCAAAAAAAAAAAAAAAAAAAAAAAATAATAATTGGCGACCTCAAACTTAACATTTTAGATTTGGTAATATTCCCCTAAATTCATCTGTTCTCCCAAATTCGAGATTTTTCTACGTTACGTAACTACTTGAAAAGGGCAACCCAAACTAATATTAACCAATCATAGCTTGTCTCTAGAATCGCACCTATCATAGCTTATCTATGATAAGTGTGATTCTATAGACAAGCTATGATTGGTTAATATTAGTTTATTATTAGTGACTGGTTTATATATTAACCAATTATACCTTGTCTCTAAAATCTAGTATAAATACCTCTGGCAGCTAAATTACGTCACTTTTTCTGCTAGCTTCTACCTTGCTAATATCTTCTCACTTTGTTCCCCGTCTAAAACGTCTGCGTCTTAATTTTAAGAATCAATATACATGGCAATTTATCATAGTTCAGTATGACTGAATCATAGAAATGTCTCGGATTTCATTATTGATTGGATAAACATCTTACCTTCATCTGGCAAGCCTTCATCCTCAACTACAACGACAAAGACTGCGAACTAATTCTTTTTCTATGCTTCCGGAATTATTATATATATTTAATGAGAGCACGATTTGGAAAGCACTGATGGAAGAACACTGAGATTTAGAAGCGTAGCAATGTTGTCATGCTTTATTGCGTAGATGAAGGAGTCCGGTACTTTAATTTTTGGCCTCCGAAGACACTTTATTGCGTAGTTGGAAAGATGAATGCATAAAACAAAAACTTCCAGATATGGCCATTTCGAAACATAATTTTACTGCAGGATAATCCACGTCAGATCATCTTTCTGTAGATAAGATATTTTTCAATCATAGTTGAATACAGTAATTTCTATGTACACGGGTTTTAAAGTACGACGTCATCTTAGGCAAATAAGCAGCAGCGTGGATGAGAAACGTCTTACCAGGAGGAAAGCGTAAGAGAAAAGGACGTAGCAATTAAGAGGAAGAAAGGAGGGAGTCAAAAAGTTTCAGATCCGAATTAAAAAGTTTAGTTTACAATTATTTGATTGGGCAAGAAGTATCTGACTTAAGCGTTCCGTAGGGTCGCAGAATTAATTTGAATGACTTAAAACGCTATTAAGACAGAGACAGGAAGTCCCCAAATTAAATAAAAAATAAAAGAGGTTATAGCCATTACTTTAATTAGTTATATATATATATAATTTATAATAAGAAATCTTTCCATATACCATCTCCAAGGAACACAAATTAAATTTTAAACGATGAAAGAAAAAAAAATTTAGAATATAAATTTAAAATAGTAATTTCAACTCTTGTTTGTCAATCGGCTAAAAAAAAATCTTTAATCGCAAAAATTCAAAACCAAAAGCAAATTTTAAATATTAAATAAACAGCTATTGTCATTTATCGCAGATTAATCAACTTATCAAGGGGATAAACCAATCTACTATCAATTAACAACTAAATTAAGAGATTGTTTCATCTTACTTCCAAGTACGCATCGAATTATTTTCTAGATTCAAACCATAAGTACAACTAATACTCAATCCAAATAAAGATGTTAGCCCATTTAAACCATAAGAATCTTGCAAATAAAAATAGCAAATAACCTTAAAATTAAGGTTTCTCATTAAGAACACAATTAATCTGTACGAGATGCTTACTTTAGAAGACATATCCTCTACACTCTCATTGAAATTCAAAAACAGAAGTAAACAAGTAAAAGTTTATTCAAAATCAAAGAAGATAAAAAATTATACAATCTTAAATAAAATTTCAAAACAAGTAGTTAATTAGAAATTTAAAGACCAAACTAGTACGTTAAAATTAACAAACTTGCCTTCGTATATATATATATATATATATATACAACCTTGAAGATTTGTTTAGCATATGCCGTTAGAATATTTTTAATAATAACAATAATAATAATTGAAAAAATGAAACTGCCTTTCTGAAGTTTTGAAATAACATATCTAGAGAGAAAAAATTCAAATTGGATTTTTAATATTTTTTGAATAAAACCTTTTTATGATACGATTTGAAATAATTAAAAGCTTTTCAAGAAATATGAAGCATTCATATTTTCTGATTTAAAATAACTATAAAAATTTTCTTAATATAATTCTTTTTATCTATCATATAATTTCCTTAAATTATGAACATCTGTTTCAAGGACATTTCTTATTATCATAAACTGCTATATTTCTTAAACTATCATGCTGAACATACGGTATCGTGTGCTGAAGATTGAAAATATTGATCCCAAAGAAAATATTGTATATTCTCAAAAACTCCTGATTTATTCAAAAGCATTAGGAAGTGTTGTTGAATTACTTTTATTAAAATATTCTTATCATCGCAATTACAGTAAAATTATCATTCGCTATTCAGCAATATTTGATTTATATCATATGATAAACACCCTTTCAATTGTTTAAATAGAAAAGAAACATGTCAGTGTAAAATTTTATATTAGGCAAAAAACGCCAATCTACAGTTTTTTTTTGCTTAATTTTAAAATCCAATTATTTGCAAAAAAGTGCTTTTAAAGAAAAGTATAAATGGTGTTGTTTTGATAAATAGGATGCTGTTAAATTACATAGATCAGAAAATCTGCGAGGATGACTAAAATTATAAGAAAAGCCATTGACAAATATCCTTTACAAATATTTAGAAAAAATGGGGGGGGGAGGAGAATACTTTCCCAAAATACTGAATCGTATAGGATAGCCTAAAGTCGCTGCATAACTGAAAATTTACAATAATAAAATCATAAAACGCGTTTACCCTGCATATGAATTTGCATGCAGTACTATAAAATGGGACACGTTTGTATAGTGTCTAACTTTGAATGATGCGGACAGCTGCTGAGCTGGGATAGTAGTAAGTGACTCTGATTACCGTACCGAAGGGTTTGGAATCGAATGCCGGAGAAGGCAGGGAATTTTGTAAATGTATACTGTCTTTACGGTATGACTCTTTGCCACGGCGCATATGACTCTTTGCCACGGTGAATGTAATGGGATTGTGCTGACCCTTGCCAGAAAAGTGAGATTGGTAACAACAACATAATGCAGAGAATACTGATGCGTAGTGTTTGGTACCTTGAAAATAAATGTGAACTGCCCTTACACTTTCGAAGTCACTAAAAATGTACAAAAATAATATATATACTACATCTATTCATTGAACATTTAGCTGAAGAAGACATTCTTAACAATTATATCCAGCAAAATACCTCAATGTCCCGTTCAGCTCGCATTTGCATGTAGCTGTTGTCTGATGCTTCGCAATATTTGTCTGTCAAAATTTCTGGCTTATTTTGTGAGTATATTTTAAAGTAGAATCGCACAGAAAAGGAGGACGTTTAGTATTCGTTATACTAAGAGCATTTGCAACTCTCATATCAGGTGTATAGTGACTTTTAGATTTCCCTGTGGGTAAATGTATATTACATGCAATCATGACTTACTTATTCCGCATTGTCCTGTCATCCAACCCATGCGAAGGAAAAGCATGACGCCCCATATATTCAACAGACATCTTATCTGTAAGATATAAAACATAATTTAATATTATATTGTATTTCCAGAAACTGAAGTTATTGTAACAAACAACTATTTTGTGTAAACTGGAGGCGCAACTGTAGAGATGTTTCTTTTAATTGCAGATAAATTTGAAATGATTAATATTTAACTAGCTATTTTGTAGTATTACAATTTATGACCTATAAAATTTTAAATACATATCAGCTTTAATACTTATACCAGGATTTTACACTCTGAATCAAGGGAGGATACACTACTTCAAAAAATTATTTTGCTATGATGAAAAAGTGTCATGAACGAACAGGAATTAGAAACAAAGCGATTAAAACTGAACAGAAATTAACCATTTATTGAGCATGCATAGATACAGAATTATTACTTGCTGGCGTGATATACAGCCCTAAGAGGATATTCGGTCTGGTATGAACTTATACAGACCCGGTATGATATGGATATTGTATACATGGACTAGTATGAATATGTAAGAGGATACAGGTCTAGTATGGACATGTTATACAAATTTTAAATGCTGTCATGCTGAATTTCTACCACATATTCTATAATATCTCACCAAGTTCCCTCACAGTACAAGATGGCATTTTAATATGTGCCATATGCACTGGATTTGAGAAAGATCTGGAGATCCATAAGCCAAGGAAGGCTTATGACACTAAGTAAACATTCCATGGAGTTGTTCGTCGTGTGCCTTTGGGCAACAGACGTAAAAGCATTAATAATTACATTAGGACGCAAGATGTAGACAAGTGGTATGAAAGTAAAGCTAAAAAAGATGGTATGATAAGTAAAGATGGTAAGATAAGTAAAGATGGTAACGTAAGAAATTGTTCCGCAAAAGGGGTAACGCAAGGTGTAAAACATGTCCCATAGTGATGTGATAGGAAATGCTTGGTCAGGCCTCCTACGCAGCGAATTGTCTCTGAACCAAATAAAAGCGCATCATCGCTAAAATGATATCGAAACATTTCAAACTTGGAGGCCGTGACATCAATGTACGCCTTTCGATGGCCAGGAATCATAGATATCTGTTATAATGATCACCAGTATTTATGTCCAGGCCTTTTGCAAGGTGCTACGTTATCAATACATCTAAGACATATGAGCGATGGTTCTGAATGACAAACAGCAAAGGTGTAGGAATATTTATGGCAGTTCTAGTTATCATACGATCATCTTAAGAAGCGGTCATCTTAGATTTGTTGTTAACAGTTACAGACTCTCTGATATGGAGTCACTGAAAGCAGTATCAACTCACTGTGTCACAACTCTGATTCTCATGATGGGTGATTTATCGGTACAACCACTCCGCTTTTCTGAAGCGACAATACAACCTGTAATGAACTTGCAGCCTCTGGTGTACTGGATGAATCTTTGGGATACTAGTATTTGCTCAGAAAAAAAATTATCATATAAGCACAAGTATTGACACAGCCCCTGAAAAGTGTCTTTAAAATTACGTTTGAAATGTGCATTTCTACATGGCTTTAGACTCATTTTGCACTTCCAATCATTCACATAGCTGGTAGTTTCCAATCATTCACATAGTTTATGTTATACTAAACTGCAAGAATAAGAGATGATTTCAGGCTCTTTTGGATACAAACTATCATTTAACGCACTAGGTTAGGGTTGTTAGGTAAAGAATTTAATGCATACAATATCCGAACGCATTAAATGGACTGTACGCCAGCAGAATTGAGAGCTTAATTATACATTTATCGTACGGAAAAAAAAACTCAGATTACTGTGATGATGATAATAAAGTGAAAGGAAAGGAAACTTAGATTAGATATTTTATCATCATGAGATAATAAAAATACAATTCCTCAATATTTTTTGAGATGCTGTTACATGACGTGCATTTTTCTGTTAAATTAACTACACTACAAAAACTTAAAGAACAAAAGGTTTTCCTGCTGTAGTGCTGTAAATTCTGAGGGCATTGTGTAAAGCTTACAGGAGAAGTAAGCCATAAGATTAATAAAACATATACCTAAAAGAAAAGTGCCACAATTTATTTAAGGAAACATAGGTATTCAAATACTTACGATGTTTCATATATACAAAAGAACTGATTTTCGGAAAGCATTTATGCTTATCGAGGATTTCTTTGTGAAATATCGTAAATATTGTGCCTCAAAAATCATTCGCTGGATTCTTTAAGATAGCTATCAGCTGGCTGAAATAGTAAATCGCCATTGTGCCGTTCAATTAGTTTTTCAATGACTGCAAGGCATCAAAACGTCAGCTTTAAGGGAGTCGATGGTAACAGTTCCTTTTGAAGATTCGTTTGGTTAAAGGGTGATGGAGCACGACGATGCCTCAGCTTGTCGACCATTTTGTAGTCACAAGAAAGAAGAATATTGCTTTATGAAAATGTACAATGTCCTCGCCGGGACATTAACCTGGACCTCTCGAATACGCGCCACGTGTGCTACCGTTACACCACGATGGCAAGCTGGAAGAAGATAGCCACTGTAGAGTCATTAGGGATTTTTATGCTGGAGGCGTGAAAAATAAAATGAGCAATACCCTAGCTGGGACGCGAAACTGGGCCTCTTGAATACGCGCCGATTTTGCTGACGTTACGCTACGAAGGCAAGCTGGAAGGAGGGAGAAAATACCTTATACATTTACCAAATAATATCCTCATTTGAGCAGAAATAAATGTAGATTATCCTACTGGTTGTATGTATTCCTCGCAGGATCAGACACAGATCAGATGTATTGAAAGCACATCCTCAGTCCGTATATAAGGTATACACTGCCACAGTAGCAAAAGCTTTATTTTAGATGTTCAATAACACTTTCACTAACAAGAAAACAAGGTATTCAGGAAACAAACTGGCCAGCCTGATAACCAGACTTTAATTGGATAAAGCACATCTAAGGTCATACTAGGAAAGAGTTAGCTGCTTTCCTTTCCCCTTAAAGACATTAAATAATCTGCAGTAGCGGTTATGACAGATGTGATATTTTTCTCCCGAGTTAAGTATATGAAAATTAAATCTACGGTAAGCTTGTAAGGATCTTAAGTTTTACTAACGTTTATTTTATTTTAAATCTTTACTATCACTTCTTATTTTCTACTTCCGGCCAGAATTATAAGTGTTAAGGTTTTTATGCAAAGTTTGTCTGGCGAACGCCAAGTATTTAAGTTGTGGCTTTTTGCCAAGCGGGAGAGAGGAAGCAGTGAGTCGAAGCAGGCCGCTTACCTTAGAAGTGACGCAGTTGCTTGTTGCCTTCCAGGCCAGAGGTTTTAATCCTCTTGATAAATTTTAAACGTAATGTAGTGTTCACAGTTCTCTGTACTACATACGCTTCCTGTTAATATAAGGCCAATCTTCCACGTTTATTATTCTAAAGTTAAATTAGAGTTTAGTTTTATTTTTATACTTTTACGTTTTGACCCCAAGTAGCGGGTCGGTGTATTCCGAAGTACGGAAGTCATTGTAAATAGAGAAAAATAAAGGGTTTTGTATATCCTTCTTATGTATTCTGTTTACTTCCCACAGTTTTGAACATAGCTTTAGTAAGCTCTCTGTTCCGAGTCAGGTCCTTGCATGTTCCCGAAGAAGGTAATAAGGAACATTGAACCTGATAAGCTACCAAGCCTGTGTTTACAGAAGAAAAGGGCAAATTCTATATTTCTATATTTAAATTGTTCTTCTTTTTTATTTTAGAAAAAGAAATTATTAATTTATTGTATGTCACGTGTATTTTGATAATCACGTTTTATATATTATCTAGAAGGGCAAAATGTAACTTGTAATACACTCAAAATCTCTGAGGTAGGAAGGTATTTCATAGTGTAGTGTAATTAAAGCGTAATGAATTGTTCATAAATTTCAATTTTATTATATGGAGACTATATACAAAGATGTAATTATTTATCTTTCACATTTATCTGCTTACTTTTTATACAACACCCCAATCCATGATGCCAGCATTCTTCATACAGTTCAGCACTTAGTAAGTTAATAATGAATTTTTATAGCTGAAAGTATAAGACTAGAATCGATATTTAAAACATTTTCCTGGGTATGTCCCAGTCCCCAAGAAAAGATGTCCCAGTCATACTGACATTAAATAAGGCTCAAAGAAATTTAGTCTACTATAGAGATTTAAAATTTGTTACGTAACGGGGAGCAGGAAATTTTTTGCTGGCAGCAGGATTGAATAAAGAGATAAAATACGTACAGAATTAGTCTCCATAGCCCTCGGGAAAAGGAATGTTATCTGCCTCTTACCGGAATATTATATCGTAAAAATATTAAAGTATGATTATAAAAATACATTATTAGGAAACATTTATTCATAGTTAATCTAAAATTTCCGGGAGAGCCCTTTTATTACTAAGCATTATTAGCATTTTAAAGAGAAACTTATTTTACTTACATATACGCCTTTTATCCATCCGAACTTGACAGCTCCTTTATCTTCCCCTTTGCCCGAAGAAAGGTATGGATGACTTTCCTAGAAAGATGCAAACATATAAATTTATATTTTTTCCACTATTTGAATTTAATAATTGGTAACATGAACTAATATTTAAAAGGATTACAAAATTTAAAATTAATATTCAAAGTTACGTTTTATTTTGAATACCTAGACATTTAGAAATTTACAACTAATTATAGTCTTACACGCTAGGAAATCGAATATATGCAAGTAAGTTAGCCGATTATTAATACCTTTTTCTAGCAAGAGATAAATACCTTTTGAATTGGATAGATACTTCTAGAATTAACACAAATAATTGTTTTAACAGTTAAATTTATTACACATATTATGGTAACTCGATATCTCACTTGTTGCCGAAAGTCAGCATTGTATCATCTGAAAATACAAAATCATGTGAGGAGTTAGTTGATAATTCAGCATTTCTGGAAAGTGAAGGATCTCTTCTTAAAATTTGTAGCATATTTACCCGTAATGGTTAACAATTCATACATACTTAAAATATTTTATAAGTTCGAAATAACCTAAGGAAAAGTAGAAAATGCGAAATTGAAGAAATTTGATATTTATAATCAAGTTAAATAAATATATGTTAGAGTCAGTTTTTTTACACTAGTAAATATTAAATTAAGCTAGAAGTCAATTTGCTTAATTTCACTAATTAAGCTTAATTTCACTAATAAGCATTCTTCTTTCCTGAGGAAAAGAAGAATTTAGCCATTTACAAAACGTATTTCACCACTGGCCATTAAAATTGCTAAAAAAAAAAAAAAAAAAAAAAAAAAAAAAAAAAAAAAAAAAAAAACAGCAGAATCTTGTTTATTATACACATAAAATGTAGTAAGAAAGAATACATGATTAAATTTTCAGGTGGTTTGCGGTATATAGCATGTAGAATTTAGAATACATTGCCAAAATTCTGCAACAGCAACGTACTCTATGTACTGAATTCTGGCAGCAACAACGAGCGTCGAGTCGAACAAACCTTGAATGAGATATACGGTTATTTCATACGACGTCAACTCTACTCGTATGCCTGTCGTATCATCAGTCGTAATGGATGGCAAGTGGTGACGTGCCAGTGTCTCAGCAATCCATGACCAGATGCTCTCGTTGGGTGAGAGATCTGGAGGACGTGCTATTCAGGACAGCAGTCCAACACCCGCTGCATTGAGGAGGGTCACGATAGTACGGTAGCATTCGACGGCATATTATCTTATTAAAACATAGCTTCAAACACGCTTCGAAAACAAGGCACAACCACGGACCTTGACACGTCAGGTATATAACAGTGGCTATTCATATTACCTGCTGTGCGAACAAGAAGTGACCACGGTACGTGACCAAAGGCACCCCAAAGCACCGGGCTAGGTTCTGCGTCCGTGTTGCGATGACGAATGCAAATTGGCAACGTTCGTTCTCCTTGGTACCTCCGTGCATGGATACGTCTATCATGATAATTCATACTCACTCCTGTGTCTAGTGTGGTCACTCGTTGCACCTTTGTAGTCGCGCCTGTCTCTGCTACAGCCAAAGAATGTCTCCCTACAGATTCTTTGGCTACAGCTACGAAGGAAGCCACAACAATGATCACTGTGCTGACAGTCAGTGGTGCTGCTGACGTCATTGCAATGTTTGTGGGGACACTTGTTGCCCTGCACACGAGCCAAATTCCTGACTCAAGATGTGACTATATGACCCCGCAACACCCGCTGCATGTGGGTGTTCCACAAGACTGTGAAAATAGCATGTCTATTAGTTCATACATTAGTAGCCTGGTACGACATTTACCTAAACAACAATGTTCAAATACAACTTCCAAACGAGAAACCCGCCATGCAGTCTTCCTATTCAGAACAGCGTAGATGACGTGACTCATACCTGATTTGCACACCTATGCTGGAATTCTAATCATTTGCATATCCCAGCATCTGGAGGTTTTCACGCAAATTGGACGTTTATTGCATACCTTCTTCATAGCGTAGCAATTTTAATAACAGGAAGTGTATTACCCTGACAAAAATTTTGCAGTCAGAAGATAATGCCTATCCACATTTTCATCTCTGTTGTAGTTACTTCATTAAAATTACATTTTTACTGTGAATATTAAAAGTATACTGTTTTATCTTTTGCTATAAATAAATTAAAGCAAAATAAGTTTATTATTGCTTAACCCTTTGCGGCACAGTGTGTCCGGTCTGGACACACCTAAAAATTTCCTTCTGTACGCACAGAAAAATTGAATGAAAAAGGATTTATATGTTACTTTGAGCATTCCTTATTTATAGTAGATGGCAGCTCAACACAAACCATTCCATATATTTTAGCCATGTTTAGTTTTTTAAGACCCTCATTAAAAAAAAAAAAAAAAAAAAAAAAAAAAAAAAATTAGGGTATAAAAGTTGTTTGAAATGAAATTTCTATGTTATTTTTTTTGGCTGTATGCTAATCTTCTTATTCTATATTAGTTTTAAATTTGTACCTTGAAATCTTGCCTAAAATCAAACGGCAAACCCTAGGTGTGCCCAGACCTGGCTCACCGATAATCTAGAACAACTGAGAGTCTGTATTCTTTGTTTCTCCGCATCTTATCGGTAAGTTCATTGACAACAATGCTCGTTTCACCACTTTTTTCAAAGCTCTATTCGATCAGTGGGCCCACTTTGGGCACACCCACAGAATTAAACGATAAGTGCTATCTTCACGAAATTTGACTTGTGTACTCCTCTAAGCCTAATTAGACTGCCTACCTCTTTTTTTTTTTTTTTTATCAAAACTCCGGCTTTAAAAGGTAGCGTGCTGGAAAGGGTTAATCATTTAATGGAACAGTATGGCTTTAAATAAACAGAAATCAATACAATGTTATTTCCGAATGCTGATTATTTAACTTCAAATGTTAGAAAACGTTCGAAATGAAATGTCAGAAGTTAATATCATTCGGATTATAATATTTTAGTGTAACTGTTAAAAAGCTTTTAACTACAAACAACAAATTTTCTACTTCATTTAAGTTATGTCAGAAAACGAACCTGGTGGGCTTCGTGAAGTTCATCTAAGGAAGGTCTAATCATGTATTTGTGCATAGTCAAGGAATTCCGATAATTTTCCAATCGAGGTGCGGCCTCTTGATTGTAATCCATAATACTGTCTTCAGAATCTTTGAAGAATTCAGAAAATATAGAATTGGCTCGGCTATTTTTTCCCAAAGCATCTGGGAGAAAGAAGCATGTTTACATATACCATCGCTTGGAAATAAATGGTTACAGTAATAAAATCGTAAAAAAAAATCTGAAAGACTCAGTCAGGTTTTTAAGACAACTTATTTAATAATCGATATACTTCATTTGAGTAATTGTTTAGAGAAACTTGGTTGAAACAATGCAATAGTTTTCAAGATACATGCATATATGAAATCTATGAGAAGCAAAAAATTCAAATACATCAAACGTTCGGGCACACACATGACTTTAAAATTCCGACATAGTCATTTTAATCATTTATATGAGAGAAGAAAAGTATTTAAATTGAAATTTCTTTTTAAAAATAGGTATGCAATGAAGACGCCATTAATTAAGCATCAGTGATAAACAGTCTTGTTTTAATAATTACAATATAAATCATAAACCCGGGGAATGTAAATTCCTAGTAAACGAAACCTTACTTTCATTGTTATCTGTGATTATTAGAGAAGATGATCTTCGTCGGCCTGGAATTATAGAAGCAAAAACATCTGGTAAGCTCAACCGACTAGGTTTCTTGTTGTTTGAAACTGCTTGCGCCTCGTTGTCTTCCGCATCAAAAGCTGGATTATCACTACCGACGACAGATATCCGGAACCTGCTCCCAAAATTACCTACAAAATATTGATTTGCTTGGATATTAGCAAGCTAATATAATTAGAAAAGAATATAATCTCGAAAGCAATGTAGAAAAGATGCAAGTATGAACACACATATACACGCACACACACATATACCATTACCATTAGTTTACCATTTTCTTGATTTCATTTGTTATTTAATTACTGTTATTTATTATTAATATAGCGCAAAATGCTTGGAAATTAATTAAATAATGAAGAAGGAGATAAATTAAATAGCATTAATACTTTCCTATAGTAGTAATTATGTACTAACAGGAAATCACAAAATAATATATAATTAAAAAACGATTGAATCAAAAATAAAGCAAAATTAAATTAATAATAAGAAACAAAAATCGCGCAGTATTAAAAACAGCCGAAATTCTTTCGTGTTGGAAAAGACTAAAGAATTTTCAACTATGAGGAAATTTGAAAGAAGTAGCTTTGATTGTGTAAAATCAAGAGGAAAATTAAAACAAAAGCCTACATTCTTAAAGTTTCAGTTTATAATCTAATAACTTGAAAAACTTGTCATCAGAGTTTCAAACCTAATTTTAAAAATTAAAGAAATTTAAAACAAATATAAAAATCGTAAAATTAAAAAGAAATTGTAATGTCTTATTGTTATGCTAGTTTCAGTACAATACCAGAAATACTTCTAAGCTAATAGTTGTAAGGGAAACGAGTTTATTAGTTTAAGAAATAGGTCTAAGTGTATAAGATGTAGAAAATGAGTTATTTAAAACAGCAAAGTTTGTCTCGATATAAAAGACGTTGAACATAAAATTTTGTATTTAAAATGAGCTGTTCGAAAAAGCAAAGCTAAATTGTAAGAAGACTATGTGCTATAATTTCGCTTTGTTATGCTGCTACTTGCGCATTTTAAGAAATAACAAAAGAGACTTGATTATTCGAGAAGTAGTTATGTATTTATTTCAGTGCACACCAGGAATGAAAAAAAAAACTTCCATCAAGTGAATATTTCCTATATTGCCAGAACATATAAATCCGAAAATTAGAAAAAAGAAAAACTTGCAGATGATTAAATATATGAAATAGCTTTCTAAACTACACGATTTCAGTTAAGTGCACTAAGAAGCTAAATTAAAAAAAATTACCTTTAATAATATTATTAGTCATATCATGTAAAAATAAAATAACAGGACTGCTAACAGAAGTGGATATATAAATTTAGATTATCAAAGAGAAATTGAAGAGAATTTAATGTACTCGTTCTTAATGTACGTAATTTCGATATTATCGCTTCTAATGTTTCTTGAAATTTTATTTATGTTTTAATATAATTCTAATATGGGTGTTTCATGCTTCTGCACTTAATTGCATGTGATCAAGAATATAATGATTACTGAATTCTTTTTTAAACGTTTTATACATTTAACTAAAACCGCAAAATTTGAAAAACTTTGCATGCATTTTATTAATACTGGAAAAACGTAATAAAGAAGAAACCACTGCTGCCTCTAAACTTAGGAAATATATTCCTTTTAAATAGCGTAACAATTAAGTATGCGTGATGTAGTCTTTTTTTTTCTAGGCCATTCGATTCATCTTGATAGCATAAATTTCCATTCGTTTCATTTAAATTCGGTCTCCTCCTCACTTTAAAAACCACGGAGCTGTTAAAAACAAAAATTTAATCTTTTGATTAAAAATCCACCTCTTTAGCATCGTATACTAGTTAAAAAATAGAACAAAGTTTGATAAACAATCCAAATTGGGTGAATTTCTTTAAAATGTTCGTAATAGACTTCATTAGAGAAAAAGAGCTTTATTTAGAAGATTAATTTTTAGTCAGTCTGACAATGCGAAGATAGAAATTCTTTTTTAATTAGCTTTTTTTTTGTTTTCGTTTTCTTCTGTTACACAACAATATGTGAGAAAAAAATTTGACACTAAACAGAACAGAATCTACATCAAATTAAAAAAAAATTGTGTGGGAAATAATTGGTATGCATTGTGATTGAAAAGATGCATGTGTGAAGAAGTTTTAGGAAGACTGCTCGTTACAGGAATATTCAAAACTTGATTTCAGTTTTAACTGAACAAACTAATCAACTAAGAAATACAAGCAAGAGGTACAAAACGAAGTAGAACAATGTAAAACTATTGAAATTCTTATTTTACAACTTAACAGGCTAGAAAACAATAGGAACAATGAAGTGTTTGGTTATTATATGAGAAAAAAATGAACTGAAGATTAATAACTATTAATATATGTATCTTTTCATTCGAATTAAATAAAAATTAGTAATGTTGATTGATACTTGAAATTCAGGATTCGCAAACAGGAATGTGTCTAGAGTTGCGAAAACTAAAATGATCGTTTGCTATCAAGCTCAATTAATTCTAATAATATAATATAACTTTAATTATGATCAATTCTAATGTTATTAAGATTATGATGAGATTACACTAAAGGACAATTACAATCCAAACACTAGTACGTGACAAAAACAGCGACACAAAATTAAACCTCCATCCTTTATTTATAGTTTAATTCAAATCTTATTAAAAACCTATAACATTAGATGATTTATTTATTATTTGCTTAATATTTTATTTATGTGCAAGAAAACAACGAAAACTTTGCAAACAAAATACTTTTGGCCAACTGAGCTACTACTCTTTAAAGATAACTATTAATATATGTATGATAACTATTATAATAGATAACTATTTATTATTATAATAGATAACTATTATATATGTATAATGGTTAAGACATTCGTTTTTACGTTGGCGGGCACTTAGCCGATTTAGGCTTAGGGACTTCTAAGGCTGGAAGTGGCGACCACTTTATTGCGGAGGCACCACATTAGGTGCCTCCGCAATAAAGGCCATCGTTATCTCCTATGAAGGGACAGACAATTACGGCGATGTCTTCGCAGATATTAGAGCCCGGGCCGTTTGGTATCTCAGTAAGCTCCCGTATCCTCTATACCGTCTAGGTTGCTGATTGGTTAAGACAACCAGAGACTGAATGGTTAAACTGGTGAAACTCATTAAAGTTCTGCAACTTAACAAAACGTGCCTGAGTATTTTTGTAACTTCTATGCCCATTTTAATATAAAATCACAGATAACGTATCTTTAAGAAATTTGCTTTAAGAAAATTAATCGCCATAAGGAAGATTTACAACACTATATTCCGTTAAGAACAATGGTAGAAGATTTACATTATATTTAAAAACTGCATTCATTCTAATTCTAAAGAATGGTTTTATGTGATACCTGTACTTCCGTCAGATTCCATGCTTTTATTAAAACTTTCAGTTTTGGCACAATCGGTGAAAGTTTTCTTAGTCGTCTATGAATCCCGAAATTAGGAATAACATTCCATTGTAATTTTTCTTTTATGGACTCATTTTGAACTAAATAACTTTTAAGTACGAAGGGTAGAAGCACAGTATTCTCAATGCGAAGATAGTCTCTCTGAAGACGAAGAGATTTTGGACAACGAGCGACCACGAAGGGGGAATGGTATCCACTACCTTCCAATCATACATCGGAAACTGGAGAAAAAGGCACCGTGCTTCTTCTTCGTCGTCACCAAACGGAAATTCTTGTTTGGAATGTAGCGGATTGACGCAGCAAATATGTAGATCATCCGAAACTTTTTATTGCGTTGTCATAGGAACAATATATCTCAAGGACCAATAAAAAATAGTATCATGACATGATATCTCACGAAACAAAGGATCGAAAGTTCAAACTTTAAAGGAATTTACGCTTTAGTGATTCCATTTTCAGTGTTGAACAAACACATAAAAAATGAGCAGTTATGAAACTTATCCCCCTAGATGCATGGCTGATGTAATCTATCATAAAAGAATTTTTATATTCTCTATATCAAGTGGGTCTGAAGCATTTTACACTATTGTTCTTTTAAATGTTCTACTTCAAACTGTTCATGTAATTAAGAAATCATAAATGGAATATCAATTCCAGTCATATTATTCTGCACTGCGACTGCAAACTGCTTTTAAGGACGAAATGATTGATTTTAGTTCACTAACTAAAAATAATTACAATCGAATCAGATAAAAAATTAAAAAAGCGCTGCTTTAATGAAATATTTTCGAACACTTTGTTTCTATTATTAGGTTTCATCACTGAAACGATTGATTTAAAATAGAAAAAAATGCCCTACTGTCCTTTCCCACATAAACTTCCGTATCGGAGACGTACTTTATCTGACTATCACTTTATTTATTGCTAAATTAATCAAGATGTCTTAGAATTAATTTTATCCAGAATTTTCATTTAATTAAAAATATTTACCATTTTTGATAACTTAGCAAAGCGTCATATTTTTGGAATAAAACAAAAAAAAAAGTTATTCATGATGTTTAAATCGCCACGCTTACATTACATGACATAGATTTTCGACTTGATGCTCAAAGAGTTCTCAGTCCATAACGTTTAGATTCAAAGAGGTATTGGTATCTGACTTTTACTACTTTAATGACACTTCAACAATAAATCATCTCTCCTGTATAACTACATAGTTAAGTTTCTGCTGCTAGTAATCGTTTCCCCTCAACTGAACCCATTGTTGTATGCAGGCTTTAGCCACTTTTAGGTTCTCTCCACTACTAAGGACAAAAGTGGTGATCATTTTATTGCGGAGGCACCTATAGGCGGCCACAATTACCTCCTGTGAAGGGACAGACAATTTATACCCATTCCTTCTCCGGAATTCGAACCCAGACCCTCTGGTATCGCAGTCGGCTTCCCTAACTACAATACCGTCTGGACAGCACTCAGTCTAAAATACCAGTTTTATTCCCCCCTAATAAATATGGAGCAGTTAGGGGAATCGTAAGTCATGTTTCGAGAATCATTACTTAACTTACTAATGTAGAGACCTATATATGAATGTACCATCCGTTTGAACACACTGGATTTATCAAGTAGATTTGAAGCTGCGGTCATATCAGCCAAAGTATCATCTTGGCATTGCAGGATAGGGATACACACTTTGGCCGAAGTCCGTCACCAACAAGGTTTAGCCAGCTCTCGCCTTCTTCCCTAGCTTATTCTTTAGTTGAAGGTTGGATCATCTATAGAGGTGATAAGTGCTGCTTAACATGAAAAGCCTATTATGTTATTATTTCTAGAGCGTTCTTTAAATAAGCGATTACGCAAGGCATTCAGAGATTTGACTTTATGGAAATTAGATAGATATGGAGTATTTCTACTGCAGACTTACAAGCAAATCTTAATACTGAAAGTGAAAGCTTCAATTCGGGTATTGCATGCATTGTTTACAACTATGTCATGAGCTGTCCATTGAGTACAAATGAGACAGATTGTTTTAGACAGATGGGATGCTTTGTACGAACGGTTATGAGAAAAATCCTGATAGCAACGATTATAATTTAATTATTATCATTGCATTTTATGATGAAATTTTCTTTTCTTCTACGTAACAAATTAATAATTGCGCATTTAACAAGTTTTTATGTGTTTTGTAATGATTTAAATTTGTTACCTATCATAGGCTCTTTTACTTGAAATATGCTAGGGAAAAGCAGAATAGGTGAAGATCAGTTTTCAATTTCGATTTTTATCTGCTGTGGGCTCTGAAATAATAAAAGTTCTAGGCTTTAAGAATAGTCCCACAGCTGATAATTACTTAACCTCCAAAAGTTTAATATCCAAATACCATTGTTAAGTAATAATGCAGAATAGCAAAATATTTAAAAAGGATTTCTCAAAAGAAAGGAATGATTCACCATTATTATAACTGCATAATATCATGCGGAGACAGCTTGGCTGTAGCTACGTATGTACTACGTTCATTTCGAAAGCAGAAAACTTTTCTGAAGGTCTTCTGAATACATAATTTCTTACGTCCTTCATTATGAAGGAACTGCAAAAGCATATCTTATTTTTGAAAATTCTATGAGTGACAAATGAGCAAAATCCATTTTCTTAAATTGATGAGATTGCTTAAATAATAGAAAGATATGATCCATGCAAATTTTCTATGTATAAAATGGAAAAAAAAATTAAAGAAAAATAATTGTGCTGGAATTATTTAAAAAAACTGAAAATTTGTGCTTTGAAGAAGCATTTTATTTTCTACCGTGAAATTTCTACCATAATTTTATAAGCGTAAAAGCAGGCTTTTGTGAAAGGGATTGAAATGCGATTCGAGAAACGGATTAATGTTAAATAAGAGCTTTTAAAATGCGGCCTAATTAAAGGATCGAAAGTTAGATTTAGGGAAAGGAAGAAATTTTGTTAGTTTCCTTTTTACTTTCTTGAACGAAGTATTATAATCGCATAAAGTTTCAGATATCATATTTCAACGAAAATATCCATTTTGACAGCTCTCGAATCTCTGTACGTATGCCCATAATTAATGATTATTTTTTCCAAAAGAGATTTTAAAATGGATTCAGAAGGGCCTTTTTTTTGTGATGCTTGTACGTATGTATATATGCATGTATCTCACATAACTAAAAAAAAATAACCTTAGAACGTTGAAATTTTGTATATGGGACTGTAATAAACATGTAGTTTTGAACCTTCCTTTTTTCTTATAATCGTCTGCACCATCTGTTTTTTTTTTCTGTTAGAGAATGTGCATATTTTGCTTTAAAAGTGATTGAATTATGCTGCTTTTATGTTTCGGTTAAGGTTTTAATTAATCTACATGTAAAGGTTGTATAATTATCAAAAATGTAAAAGTCTTTGTGGCGCTAGGCCGCTGTTCGTTTACATATGAAACTCTTCGTAGAATAATGAATAAAGTCAGTTGATGAACTAACTTGTGTCTTTTTGTCCAGTTAGACCAAAAGTTTGTAGAGACATTAGGTTATTTTGGTGAAGAGATGAAAAATGAGAGAACGCCTTCGCCGGGAATCAAACCACGGACCTCTCAATTACGCACTGAGCGTGCAGACCACCACACCACGAAGGCGGGAGAAATACTTTATATACTCCCTCTTTTAAAGGGCGACTGAGGTTTTTAAGGGACCCAATCGCCAAATCTTGGGTGAGGAGAATCATCATCCAAAACCCTTTTATTTCGGGCGCCACTTGTAGAGACATTAGGTTATTTTGAGTCCGAAGAGATAAAAAATGAGCAAACGCCTTCGCCGGGAATCGAATCACGGACCTTTCAATTACGTGCTGAGCGTGCAGACCACTACACCACGAAGGTATGCCAAGGGAGAAATATCTTATAAGTTAACTTTTAGTTTAGTGCAACGAAAGTATTATCTTCTTGCCCATTGGCCAAATTGCTTATTTTGTTGTTTAAACTCTAAATTTACTTGTAAAAATAGTTTTTGGAAGTTTGCAAATTTTTTTGATGTTTTAAGACTTTCTGTATTTTGTAATTTTTAATGAAGATGTTTTGATTTTTATGAAGATGTTATTGCTTTGCTGCGAAGTGAGAACTAAATGGATTGAATTAGAATTACATCTTAATGAATTTAGAGGAAAATAAGTTTAAATGAAGTGCAGAAAAAATGTGTATAATTTAACAGGCTGTACAAGGAAGTCATGTGGTGTCCGCATCAGATTTTTATAATAACGTTGTATGTTTAGAGAAATAAGTACTTCATACATTTTGAAGAAATACGAATAATTCTAACTTCTATAACTAACATTCATTAATTTTATGGAAAAGATACGTAAAGCTAATTGTTATTATTATGAGGAAGATTATGACGTTATTTTTGTACTATAGATAATTTTAAAAGTCGTGCTGAAATTCAAAGTAAGTCTAAAATTTGCTTAATTATCCAAAATAACATTTTGGTCATTCTCATTGCCGAGTATGCTATAGTTTATTTGCATTGAATACTTCTATTATTCTGTAAAATTGCATGTTTGTAAATTACTACGAATTCGTAACTTATAAAAAAAGTTAAATAAAAAATTCCCAATAAGTTAAATAAAATAATTCCCATAAAGACTAGATAAAAAATATCTCAACCACCGTTTTTTGGTCACTTACCTCTGCAAAACTTTATTTTAATCCAATCGTTTTGAGAAAGCTGTGCAGATCATTTGCTTGCCAAAATGTAACTCAGCTGTAAAACTGCCTTACAGCATCTTCCACAGAGAACAGACATTAAGAAACATAAAACGGCAATAAGCAAGCACCTTCGGTACAGACTCTGTCATGCTTGCTTTTATTTATGTCCTTTATAATGGAAGTATTTTTCAGTCACCAGGGGAAAATGCTTTGTTCATGGAAATACCCCGAGGCTCCTTATTTGAGTTTTATTTAATTGTTAAACTTAGTTTTAATTTATTCGATTATGGCAAAGCTTACTAGGGCTATCTCTCTAAACAGAGGGACGTCTTCATGGAGGACTTTCTTGAGGAAACTTGGCTCGCATCCATGTTACACACGAAAACAACTACGTTAACGCTCATACAGCCGACCTCGTCACCTGGAATTAAACCCATTTCGAAATTGCTAGTATTCAAAGTCTTCAACACTCGGTTACTGGTGGGCCTTGTTAAACGGGAAGTTCTGTTAAAAGAGTTTAATTCCGAAGATGT